AAACATTGCTAACTGGCGTCAAGGTGGATGTACCCAAAGCTGTGGTATCTGCCCATTTAGCTCTGTGCTAAAGCAGCCTTGCAAGTGTGTATGTTTTAACACCAAGGGTCCTTGAGATTAACATACCCCGACAACGAATGAAGCCCAGCGCTGCAAGCCAAGCCTTCATTCCAGACTAGAAAGTGATGCTCAGTGCTTGGCCCAGTCCCCTATAGGCTTTGCTTGATTTCTTTCAGGTCAAGGGTCAGAGGCCCAGGCCAGTCTAGGGAGCAGGAGCGGTGGTGAGCTACACTGAGGGCAACTTCAGCAAAAGAGCAAAGGAAAAACTGCACTTACGTGTCATCTCTCTTTAGAAAGACACCGGCGTATGGCTGGGCAAGACGGACTTTCCTTCTCAGCAGCTCAACCAACTTCTTATTTTTAACCTGGCACAACAATGACCCCAAAGTGAAACGCAGGGCAGACTTCCTAGATGACATTTTGACAGCAGCTCTAACATTTTTCTGTATTATTCTCTGGGGACATGCTAACCTGATCCAGGACACTAACCAACTTTGTCCAGGAACTCCTAAACCAAAAAACAAACAAAAGAGGGGGATTGGAGGGATTGAGAAAAAAAAGAGAGAAAGAACTCATGGACACGGACAACAGCATGATGACTGCAGAAGTGGTGGTGACAGAGGGTACAGGGAGGATAAATGGTAATGAAAAAATAACAATAAACAAAAGAAAGATAGGTGTATGGAGAATACAGTGGTACAGAGTTAACCAGATCCATTCCTCAGTAGTTCTCCCAATCCTAAAGAAAAACCAACCCCTGGCTAGCATAGCTCAGTGGACTGAGCATGGGCTGTGAACCAAAGTGTCATAGGTTTGATTCCCAGTCAGGGCACATGCCTGGGTTGCAGGCCACAGCCCCCAGCAACCACACATTGATGTTTCTCTCTCTCTCTCTCCTCTCACTCTCTCCCTCCCTCCCTCCCTCCCTCCCCTCTCTAAAAATAAATAAATAAAATCTTAAAAAAAAATGTGTAAAAAAAAAAAGAAAAATCAAAGTAGACAAATGGCCAGAACCAAGAAATTAATTTAAAGTTCAATTTCAAGAGCTATTTTATTGGCAATATATCTGGGCTTAAAAATTTGAAACATTCTGATTTCATCAATATAAGAAGAATGACACTAAATGTGTGTAATTCAACTGTGGCCCACCCTACAGGCTGGTAAGATCCTCTGATTCTCACTGACAGTATTTCCCAAGCACATCTCTATCCTATTTATTGATCACTGAAACCCACAGGATCACAGCACATTGTCTTGGTGTCATTTCAGTGGAAGGTGAAGAGCTAATGATGTCTCCAAGGAAACAGATGATGAAGGTGGGTGGTGCACAGATGTCTTTAGGGGTCAGACGATTTCGTTCAAGCCTGTGTCAATTCCCACACCAGACTGTGACTAAACTAATGGCTCTCAAACTCTTAACGCACATTGGAATTACCCGGAGGACCTGAAACATGGCCAGACCTCACCCCTGCAGTTTCTGATGCAGGGCTAAAGAGTGCAGAGAATTCACATTCCAAACAAGGCCCCAGGGGATGCTGCTGGTCCAGGCACCATGTTGGAGAACCAGTGTTTTAACTTATCCCTAACAACAGCTATTAACTTCTGGTCTGGGAATTCCTGACACTATATATGCATTTTTTCCTAGGGGAAAAAACAGCCATGGGGGGGGGGCGCGCATGGCTCAAAGAAAACTAAAAACCAACAGTCTGTACTCAGAGGCCACTGACAAGCACAGAACCTACTGGGGGACATTAGCCCCATACAGTCAACTACAAAATCCAAAATAAACAGAGCTTGGTTAACAAGTTCAGAAACATTTATTGGGTCCACAGAAGTTTTCCTCGCTTTTTCCTCTGCTAACAGCTGACTACCACATCTCAGCACCTCTCCTTCCTTTCGCAGGACCCCTTTTCGTTATTTACAAGGTAAGAGCAATAGAACTAGTATCACATGCCAGTCTCGAGCTATCCACAGACACATTTAACCCTCCTGGCTAGCTCCAGGAGGGCACTCAGCATCTCTTAAAAGAATCATTACCTCTGCTTGGCACTAGGGACGGGCATCTGCACTTTGCTGGGCTGAGGGGACCACACCTGGTGAACAGTCCTGACCCCAGAGGCCAGGTAGGATAGAGAGGACTACTGAGGGTGGGGTCAAAGATGGAAAAGAGGTCTCCTGGGCAGGCTTCTGAAGTATCAGAGGAACCCCCACATAGGAAAGGACAGATGCAGCTGCTTACTACTGAGGCGTACTAAGCACCAGGCACCATTCTAAATCATTTAGCTGGGACCTCTTTTATCTCCCACAACAGCTCTAAGAAAGAAAGTACTATTAGTATGTCCATTTCACAGATAAGAAAATGGAAGCCCAGAGCAACAGCCTGCCCAAGGTCACAGAGCTTAGGGAGCCAGCCACGGGGTCTTATCCTGGGGCCTCCTAATAACCACTACTCAACATCAAGGCAGGCCCTTGGAAGAGCAGCTCAAACATAATCAGCAGTGTGCAGAACAGGAGGGGGAGGGGGACCCTTCTGTCACCTCCCCATTGGCTGGCTGCTGTCCCTCTGTGTTGTCCTGTCCCTTTCCAAGGCATCCGTGCAATTTACTTAGCAGAAACTGGAGGGGGATGAGGCAGGCTGGAGGGTGAGTGGAGAGGTTGACTCACTGTATGACCTTGCTCAGTTAAAAGATAAACTCTCCTCATGGACTCAAGTTTCCACATCATTAAAAAAAGAGGCGGGGTGGGGGGAAGGCATTTGGGTCCTTCCTACTCTAAAAACTAAAGTTCCTTGCACTCATGATGCTTTCTCTCTATTACATCACCCTAGTTCCCCACCCACCCCTCCCTTCAGGCTCTTAGTCTGAAAGGATCTCAGCCTCAGCCGTTTCCTGCCTCTTTCCAGAAGTTCCTTAGGCACAGGGACCACGTTTGACACGTTTGCCACTATATCCTCAGTGCCTGCTCCATGGAAGAAGGGTAAGAACACTCTGCTGAATGGAGAAAAACCACAGCTGCACCCCTCTGAGAACATTCTCCTCTCACCTTCATCCTCAGTCTCTGGTCCCATCCTTCTCTTGCTCTATTATTGCCCTCCAGTACATATCTTACTTACTAACCTTGTTTATCACTCCTCAAATCCCGCTAAAATGTGAACCCTAAAGGCAGGAATTTTTGTCTGTCTTATTCACTGTTGTATCCCCAACAGCTACAACGAAACTTGGCCCATGGAAAGTGGTCAAGAAATATTTAAGAAAGGAATGAATCCTTGACCCAAAGGGGCTCTTAACTAGAATGGAGACCACCCTGGGAAGAGAGGATTACAAAACATTTACCAATACCTGCAGAAAAGTAACTGGGCCTCAAAACAGTTGTTTCTTGCCCTGGCTGGTGTGGCTCAGTGAACTGAACATTCGCCTGCGAACCAAAGGGTCGCCAGCACAGGCCTGGGTTGTGGGCCAGGTCCCTGGTTGGGGGCGTGCAAAAGGAAACCAGTCTATGTCTCTCTCGCACATCGATGTTTCTCTTCCTCTCTTTCTCCCTCCCTTCCATCTCTCTAGAAGTAAATAAAGTCTTTAAAAAAAACTGTTCTGTTTCTTCTCGGAGCCAGATTTCCATGGTTAGGACTCTAAGTGGGTTCAACTCCCCTTGAAGAGGAGGAATTTGGCTCCAGTTCACCAACCCAGTGGTGAGCAAAAAAGAATTCCAACTCCCGCCTTAGAGAAACTTCGTGTCTGAAAAACTTTCGAGAAACGAGCGTGCTTGCAGAGGTGGGGAAACGAAGCAACGCGGGCGTTCTCATTACCTCGATAATCTTGATAAAGCGCGGGAATACCGGGTTGCGGGTGACAGCGATGAGTGGCAGGTGCGGGAACACGTCCGGGATGGTCATAGGCGTCAGCGCCGTTATGATGGGGCCTTCCCCGCCGCCCGAGGTGCCCCCCGCGCCCGCGGCGCCATCCTCCACGCCACCCTCAGGGGTATCCTCTCCACCCGAGAATCCGCCGCCGCTACCGTCGCTGCCGCTGCTGCCGCGGTTGTTCCCCTCCCAAAGACCCCGCCACTGGCCCGCAGCCGTGGGACTACGACCCCATAACACCCAAAGAGAAGTGTCACAGGCCCGCCAGCCTCTAGGCAGCCATGCTCCGACAGCAGCTGAGGCCCGACCCCCAGCAACGGCCAGCAGCGGCCGTCGCACAGCCCAACACCGCGCAGCTCTCCACAGCCGCACGTAGCCTGTGCCCGCCGCCATAGCCCGGCCATCCCGGGGGCGCGCAGAGCTTGCGTCATTTCCGCTCACCGGACTGCTGTGCACGTGACGCGAAGCCGGCCCGAGTGCCTGCGGGGGCGTAGCTCGGAAAGCCTTGCGGAGGCGGGGCCTATGAGAGCACAGGTGCGCGTGGTTCGAGCTCCCTTTTGGCATCCACCTATTCTAGCCGACTAGCTAGAGCGCTTACGGTCCCTTCGAGTCATGTGGAAGGCTGCTATGGCCATCGAGAAATGGCCTGCTGTTGCTGAAAGTGAGGATTTGGGAACGTGCATACACAGGCTTTAAGGACCTGCTAAACGCATGCTCAGGCTCTAGGGTGCGTCGGCATGGCGGATTCAGCCTTCCCGGAGATGGTGTACACATGCTCAAGTTGTAGACGGCGCACCGGGCAGCCGGTTGTCTGCTCCTGCGCAGCCCCTACGAAATAGATGAGACGAGGAGCGCATGCTCAGATTTCAGGGAAAGCGTGCGCGTGTGTCTGCAAACGCACGTTGTGTCGCTGAGAGGGGGCGTGTTCAAGTGGGTAGATTCGGGATTCGCGGGAGATGCTGTGCGCGTGCTCAGGCTCCGCAGCCCGCACTCTGAAGCTCAAGGCTCTAGTATGCGCATGCCCAGACTGCGAAGTTCTCCGTGGCGGTTGAGTAGGAGTGGTGGCAGCGACGCTTCCAAGCAGATGCTGGTGTTGATTCTAGTGGCGGCTGCGATGTTGTGGCTCTTCCCGTTGGCCACAGCTCAGCCCCTGTGCCGGTGGGGCCTCCTCACGGGCTTGGGGTGCTGCCGGGGGTCGGGGAGAGGGGCGCTGGTTCATATGAGTGGAGGCGAAGATGGAATCCAGGAAAGATGCTCCTCGTTCCTCAGCCTCTTTGAGACTTTCTAGCTTACTCTTCTAGGATTCAAACTTGATACCCCCCTTTTTCTCACCTCAACCAACCTCTCTAGTCTCATTGCCACTTCAAAATTTGGCACCATTCCGAACCCTTCAAATTACTTCCACTGCCACCCCCACCGCCCACCTCAGGCTGTGCTTTCCTGCCCAGCCCCTACTCTGGCAGCCAGAGGAATTATTGATAAACGAATTTGATCTCGGCATTCCCCTTCTCCAGTTCTCTGTGGCACCCAGAATAAAACCCAGGTTCCTTGAGCAGCCTGCGTTTTCTCCCATGATCTAGCTCAGGTTTTCTAACAGCACGGTGCTGATATTTGGGGCCTGATCATTCTCTGGGGTGTGGCCATCCTTTGCCCTTGTTTGATGTAGAGCAGCATCCCTGGTCTCCACCCACTAGATGCCAGTAGTACCTATTTCTCCAGGTTTGATCATCAATCAGCAATGTCTCTAGGTATTGCTAAGTGTCTGCTGGGGATTTGACAACCACCAATCTGGCCCCTGCCCACCCCTGAGTCACTGTTCCAGTCACCTTATCCCTTGAACACATCAAACTGGACCTAGTTTGGGGGATGGGAGAGACTTAGCGCGTGCTATTCCCTCTGATGGTACATGTTGCTTCCAAGTCTCTCCATGGCGTATTCCTCATTAATCAGATCCTAACTTCAGTAGCATGTTTCCTTATGAAAGCCCCCCTCTTTGTGGCTGCTTTTTAGTATCAATCACTAACTTATGTTATTCTTTCCTTTTGACAAATGTTTTCTTACCTGTTGCTGCCAGCAGAAATACTAGCCTCACAACAGTGTAGAGTGTTTCTTACTCACTCAATATCAAGAACATTATTAGATTTCAATCAATATTATATTAGTGAAGGCTATGCAAGGCGCCATAGGAGGTAGACAGATGCTAAAATTCTGTTGCTGTCCTCAGGGAGCTCTTGCCGAGAGTGAGCTGTCACTCCCATTTGGCCCCATTTGCTGATGAAATGGTAAATGTATGCTTTGGTGCATGGCCTCATTTAATCTTTACGACAAAGTTCACGGAGTAGTGATTCCTTAGCCTTATTTTATGGATGTGAAAATAGACTCAGCAAATTAAAGACACTTGCCTAAAGACACATACCTAGTAAGCAGGGAGTAGGATTTTCCAATAAGAATTACTAGTGGGATTTGTCTCAAAATCTGAAAATGTTTATATCTAATTCTCTCCCAAAGTGTGGTCCTCGATCAGCAGAAACAGCGTAGACTGGGAATTTGCTACAATTGCATTTCCCTGGATCTACTGGTGGGGCCTGGCCATCTACCGTTATCTAACCCTCCAGGTGTTTCTGGCGCATGTCCAAGATTGAGAAACTGTGATGTAAACTACATTCTCCCAGCCACCAACATTCCCCCTTCCAAAAAAAAAGAAAGAAAGAAAAAGAAAGAAAACCTTGAAATAGGAATTCCTAATTTTCCTAATCTGGTGTCTACAAATGAGCCTTTATGAGCTCTTGAAAATATCTCCATTTGTGCCTATCCATAAATTTGTTGGTGCAAGAGGAGGACCCCAATTTCATTAGACTTTCCAGGGGATCCCATAACCTGAAAAGCATTAAGAACAGGTACTTAAAAGTTAACCCAGAGGTAAACTGGAAGGAGTCATGCTGAGTATTCAAGAAACATTAACAGATGGTCTCTCTTGTCACTTACCTTTAGTATTCACACGGTGAGGACGGGAAAGACACTTCATGTTGGACAGCAAACTCGAGGGGTATGTGGCTCCATATTTAACGTTCATTCTTCACTTTTATCTAATTACCAGATCAGAATATTTCTCAAAGGCCCTGGTTGGGTAAGTTCAGTTGGTTAAGGCATTTTCCCAATATGCCAAGGTTGTGGGTTTGATCCCTGGTTAGAGCACATACAAGAATCAACCAGTGAATGCATCAATAAGTGGAACAACAAATCAGTGTTTATCTCTCTTTAAAACCAAAAAAAATTTTTAAAGAATATTCCCCAGTATTATTGCGGTGCCAGTGTTGTGTCAGGCATAGAACAGTATCTACTCCTTACCACTGCCCTTTGAGATAAGGGATTTATCACTAAAATAGTACAGAGAGATCAAGGAACTTGGACTAAGCCAGGAGACAGAAGTAGGGTTAGAACTCAGATCACTGGTGTTCTTCTATTCCATAGGAGATTTTAAATCCACAGTGACATGGGAAGTAAACTGCTACTTTTTTTACATGACACAGTGCAATAAGAAACTTCCTTTCTCCCCGTGTGTCCCTAAAATGAATGGAGAAATGGGGCTGGTGAACCCCCAACACAATACACAAATGATGTGTTCTAGAATTGTACACCTGAAACCTAAATACTTTTATTAACCAGCTACCCAAAATAGTCAATGAAAAAAAGAAAAGAGAATGCATAAGAAAAAAAATAAGTTGCCTGTTGACATGGCATCGTTTCAGTAAAGCTTTCTACATAGTCTCAGAGTGGCTGGTTTCTAGCCTGTTAGCTTTACAAGTCTTTGTCCTTCCACCTCTCTTTCTAATAACTAACAATCTGTAAATAAACAATAACATATGTGGAATAAGATGTGATAGGAATTAGCCTGTGAATCATTTTTCACTCTTTATTTCAAAATGATAGATTCACAGCATGTTGCATAAATAGTATGGAGATGTCCCAGTTACCTTTCACCCAGTGGTGACATCTGACATAACCAGTGTGCAATATCAAAACAGGACAGTGATGTTGATACAGTCTACTTGCTTAGTTCAGATTTCACCTTTACATTTTCTTTTTTTTATTGTTTTAAATTTCTTTTAGGGGGGTAAATGCAGACAACTGTAACTGAACAACAATAAAATAATTTTAAAAAATTATTTTAGAGAGATGAGAAGGGAGAGAGAAAGGGAGAAAAACACTGATGTGTGAGAGAGACATCAATCAGTTGCCCACCACCCAGCCATGTGCCCTGGCCAGGAATCAAACCGGTGACCTTTTGGTTTGTAGGCCGGTGCTCAGTCCACAAGCAACACCAGCCAGGGCTCACCTTTACATTTTCAATGTTGCACTTTAGGACATTGTTTTCATTGGGTATTTATTATTATTGATATTAAATTTTGTGACTATCTCTCTAGGACCTCCTATATTTTTCATCTATGAAAACACTCTTGATAAAACATCCTTGCAAAAAAAGAACAGCCCTGTATCTAGGGTAAGTAACCATTTTATGAATTGTTACCTTCCTTTTTATTAAAATGTTAGATTTGCTCTCATGGATTCATCCAACAAACATTAAGGAAGATAGGGCTGTCCTGTGTTGCTAGTTGCTGGCCTGCAGGGGTGGGGGTCAGAGGAGGAGAGATGACGAGCCCAGAAAGCACTTATTACAATATACAGCAGTACCACCTGTCAAAGGTGCTAGAGATGAGCACTCACGGGATGCTGAAGGAGAGAATGCCTAGGAAGTTTCCACTGGGGAATCGATGCCCAAACTGGGTTTTGAAGGATGAATAGGAGTTCACTGTGGGGCGGGGGAGGACCCAAATATGAATAGGCTTGGAATAGAACATTCAAAGGGATGGACACTCTGCCCAGAATGCACTTGGAATTGTCAGGATGCAAGATTAGAAAACCAGATATGTAAACTATACCAGAATGTTCTCCCCTCATCCTAAAGGCAGTGGAAGATATGAGGCCACATAATTTGTGTTTAGGAGGATTTCCAAAAAGCTCAGGCCAACAAAACAAAACAACATACCAGGAAAAAGCCTAAGTAGAAGGAAAGCCACGTAGAGGGGAAGGCAGACTTGGCAGGACTTGTCCACTCACAGGGTGTGTGGATCAGAGATGAGCAGGTGGTTTAAAACAGCCCCCCAACAAGTCTCTGGCTGGGTGGCTCAGTTGGTTGGAGCATCATCCTGTACACCTAAAAGGTTACGAGTTCAATTCCCAGCCAGGGCACATACTTGGGTTGTGGGTTCGATCTCTGGTCAGGACACATACAGGAGGCAACTGATCAATATTTCTTTTTCACATCAATGGCCCTTAAGTTTCTTTCTGGTGGAAAGATTAGGGAGAGGGGTGGTGGCCCAGGATGTCATGCTGATAAGGCCAGAGATGGGAACAGAAGGTCAAGTACACATGAGTGGTGGTTCCGGCAGCAGAAATAGGTGCAGCCACCCAAGCAGCATGTGTTTAGTAGTCAGAGGCTCTGGGGAACTGACATTATGGAGCAGGTGGGAGAGAAAGAGACATTGGAAAGCAAGAACCTAAGAAGCCAAGGGGGCAGGGGTCAAGGAGGAGGGCCGTCACAGAGAAGCCAGGGCACAGGGGCAGATAAGAAGCCCCTGAAGGCAGCTGGGCTGACAGAAAGAGGAGACGTGGAGGTCCGAAGCTTATGTTACTGTCTCCAGAAGCCGAGGCAACAGAAGCCAAGAGAGGTCTCTATAGAGAACTCAGCAGCAGCAAGGAGCACAGGGCTTGGAGGAGGTTCCTGCTGGTAAGAAGGGCCTGGAGTGAGGGGTGACCACACCGACAGGTCTTCCAGGAGGGGTTGGGGAGCAAGGGGCAAGGCTGGCCCTGGGCAGGTGAGGACTCAGCTGCTCCTTCCACAGCAAAAGAATCTCAAATGCTAAGGCGTAAGTTCTGTCATCCCTGGAGAACTGAGCTGCTGTGGAGCCACCACTAGTCACATGGGACTATTTGTGTTTACATTTCCCATCAGCTGATGAATGGATGAGCAGAACGTGGTTCATCCATACCAGGGGATATTACTTATCCTTAAAAAGGAAGGAAATTCTGACTCTTGCTACAACATGGATGAGCCTTGAGGACATTGTTGAGTGTAAGAAGCCAGACACAGAAGGACAAACACTGTGGGATACTACTCCCTGGAGGTCCCCAGAGGAGTCAGATTCGCAGACAGGAAGCAGATGGTGGGGGCCGGGGTCTGGGGGAGGGGACAGGAGTCAGTGTCCAAGGAGGACAGAGTGTCCGTGTGGGATGGTGAGAAACTTTGGAGACGGATGGTGGGGACGGCCGCACTACAGTGTGAGTAGAGTTAATGTCACTGAGCTGTGCACTGAGAAATAGTTAAAATGGTAAAATTTATATTACGTATATTCTACCACCATCAAAATAAGTTGTGAAATATAAATTTTATGTTGTGTGTATTTTACTACCCCTTTAAAAATGAAACAGAATTTGATTAACTAAAGTTAAATACTGTACGGTGAAAAGTCCACATAGTCAAACTAACCACTTTCACCAGCTCGGTGTGTCTAGTGCTGCCGTGTTGGACAGCCCGGGAGCAGGACAGCCCAGGAGAGGGACAGCCCGGGAGCGGGACAGCCCGGGAGCGGGACAGCCTGGGAGCGGGACAGCTCAGGAGCAGGGCATTTCTGTCAGATCCAGGCCGCCATTGAGTTTTCTGTGGGCTGGAGAGCTGAAAATGTTCTCTACATCTTTATATTCTTGAAAAAATCAAAACGATAATATTTCACTGAGCAATAAAAAATGAAATCTTACCATTTGCGACAACATGGGTGAACCTAGAGGGTATTATGCTAAGCAACTTAAGTCAGACAGAGAAAGACAAGTGCCATGTGATTTCACTTGTTTGTGGGATCTAAAAATAACTATACAAATGAGCAGTTGAAATAAAGCAGAAGCAGACTAACAGAAAGAGACCAAAAGAATGGTGCCAGCTGGGACAGAGGAGGGGATGGGTGGAAAAGGTGAAGGGTAGTAAGAGGTACAGACTTCCAGTTATGAAGCTGATAAGCCGTGGGGAGGTAGCGCACAGCACAGGGAACACAGCCAACGATGTCATAATAACTTTGCACAGCGACAGATTGTAATAGATTTGTTGTGATGGTCCCGTCATAAGGCATATAAATACTGAATCACTGTGTTGTACACCTGAAACTAATACAATATGTATACCAACTCTACTTTAATAAAAAATTTAAAATAATAAAAAGAACAAATTTGTGACACATGAAAATGACATAAAATTCAAAATTTCAGTGTACATAAATAAAGTTTTATTGGCACACAACCACAGCTTTTCATTTATGTATTGTCCATAGCAGAGCTAAGTGGTCGAGAGAGAGGCCATTCAGCTCCTAAAACATTTTCTGTCTCACCCTTTAAAGAAAAAGTTTGCCAGACCTCCAGCTTAGAACACAACCTGTTCAAATGGGATTCCGATGCCCAGAACACAATGGAGTCGGCGAGGGTCTGACCCCAACAGCTTCCTAAAATGAGAAATTCTAATGTTTAACAAAATTATGAGATACCACTTTTCGCCTATCATATTGGTGAGGATGAGGGCCAATGAACATGAGTTTAAGTGGGTCCTCCTTCTGTAGATGGACAGTTTGGCAGAACCTGTCAAAATGTTCAACTCATATTCTCAGATACAATGATCCCATTTCTAGGAAGTTAACCTACAATTTTAACTTCTTTATGTTCCTAGTGCAAAGCCTTCCCGAGACCTTTGTCCCAGCTGGTCCCTCTGCCTGGAGTGTCCTTTCCTATGACAATCAAGGAGAACAGCATCCCAGGCAGCAGTGACAGCTTGTGACAAGGCCCTGAGGCAAGACCTTGATTGACCATTGGAGAAACAGCTAAAGCACACTGATCAAGGTGGGGGGAGTGAAGGGACTGTCAGCCACAACACAGTGCACTTTTCAAATGATGTCATTTCAGGAAGTCAAATACCCATAGAAATTTACTCCTGCAAAAATAGATAGCTATGGATAGATTAGATAGATAGATAGATAGATAGAGTGAACCTAAATGGTTCCTTGCTAAAAAAAAAGAAAAAGGAATTTTGTTTGGATGGAACATTTTTAGGGTGCCTGCCATTGTTTTTTTTTTTCTTTTCTCATGTGAAATTCTCCTAATTTAACTCTTATTGTTTATTTCAGACGACAACTTTTTTTCACAAGAAATAACTTTGAGAGTAGTCTCCTTCCATTCTCCATCCCTACGTGGATGCAGGTAGTTATTATACAGGACAACCTGAGGGATGCTTGAAATACATACTACTCAGGGTAAAGGTATAGTTTGGAAATATCACATTAGTCTGTTTTTGTTAGTTTGGGGTTTATTTTACAAAATATGTCTCTTAAAGACAATTTCTAAGCAAAAAGGAGGGTTGATTCTATTCTGCCCTCTCTACCAAAATAGTACCTTTTCTTCCTGAAAAGGGAAGCAGAATGGTTGCCAGTCCTCCCCACAACTGGCTGCGTGTTGGGGACAGATAGATGACATGCACGAATTTCAGGGCCTCCCCACATTGTCTAAACCAAAACAGAAAAACCTTTACCGTCTCGGTAACTATCTTGAAAAATTCTACCGTTAGCACCTGTGCTAAAGAGGGAGGTTTTGCCCTCTGTTAAGACTCCCATGTTTCTCTTAGAAGCAACAGTGATGCTTGTCATTTATGTACCTCCTCCATGACCTATTGTGGGACTTTATCCTCAGAGGAGGCTTTGACGAGGGAGGAGGTGGAGTGAATTTAGGTGTCTGTGGGCTCCGAACACCAGTTGCAACCTCCCAGTTTGGGTTCCAGCTGACCACAGGGTACGGGGTCCCCAATACCAAGGAACCGCACACCTCCTGCTAGCACACAGTGTTTCTTGGATGCCTGTCTGGAAGCATGGCTTCCCAAACTGATAGCTGAACAGGTGTGCTTATTGATGTCACATATGCCGTTATTCGTAGGTTGGCACGCCAGAAGTAACATCAGCACATTTTGCTGGTTCGGTATTGCTGTTAGTGGTGAATAAAAGAGTCTATATTTATGAGTATGAAGATGATTCCTGGGAGGCATCTATAGGTATGTGCTTCCTATTTTGACTTCAGCCAACTTCAGACACGTGGTTGATTTTGGGAGAACAAGCCATAGTGTGGCTTGGATGGCCACTGCTGGACATTACCTTGTCCTTTAAAATTCAAGTGGAACTCAGCCTGAACCCCTACCCCAGAGGGTGGGAACCTGGTGTTCCCACTGGGGATTGTATTTACGAGCCAGCAAAACCTGCTCAGGGCAAGAATGACCCTTACATGCTCATGTGATGAGGCTGGGTGACAGCATGTTTGGTCCCGGGTACCCCACATCAGGGCCAGGGAGCGGTAGAGAGGGATAGTTTGATGCAGGAGAGAAAGAAGAGAACTCTGAGGCAAGGAGATGGTGTCAAGAATGAAGATGGTAGACGTTATAGAGAAACAACCAAGGTTGTTTAGAGAAGAAGAGAAACAACCTTCTCATTCTCCAGCGGAGGGAAGAAGGCAGAGAGAGAGCACAGGCGCCCGTGACGGTGAGGAAGGGGTCAGTCCAAGGTCTCTCGCCTTCGGCACTGTTGACACCCAGGGGCAGATTATCCTCTGGCTGGGGGCCGTCCTGGGCCCTGTGGGGTGTGGAGCAGTGTCTCGGCTTCCACCTACTCTATGCCAGGAGCATGTCCCAAGTCCTGACCAAAGAAAAAAAATGTCTCCGGACATCACTCAGTGTCCCCCTGGGAGGTAAAAGTCCCCTCAGTGGAGAACTCCTGGGTTGGCAGATCACCATCCGGCAAGTTGTTAGTCTTTTGCTTCCCTTGTATTAATTTTGGAGAAAGATCGTGGGCCCCCCAAGACGGCGCCCTGCCCCAGTCAGCCTGGCGCCTGCCACATACTCGCTACACGGTGGCTGGAGGATTGATTGACCACAGCCCTCTGAGAGGGACAGGAGGGCAGAGCCGAAGGGCCACCCCTCGACTGGGCCTCTGCCTTACTCTTCATTAGTATTCCAGCTTGACTGTCAATAGGTGATTGGCTGGACCTTAGTAAATCGACACGTGGAATGTTCTAAGCCCCTTGGCGGAGGTGTGGACACTGTGCATAAACCAGCCCCTAAAGAATGTGCATAACCCAAGTAAAGCTGGGCTGCCCAAGGGCAGCTTGGGACCATCTCATCAGTTTGTCCCATCCCAGCCCAACACACAGCTGCCCTCGGAACAGCAGTTGACCTAACGGAACAGAACGTCCCACCCACAGCCAACTTGCCTGAAAGTCCTCCACCTCCCTCTCTCCCCCTCCAGAACCCAAACGCACCGGCTTCTCCTTCACTCCCCAGCCTCTCGAACCCCCCCCCCCCCGACCCTCCAGTCGTTATTTTCTCTCACAGTTCAGAGCTCTTTTTCCCTTTTTTGTGGGGAGGGCATAAAATTCACACAAAACTATTTTAACCATTTTAAAGTGTGCAATTCAGTGGCATTTAGTGCATTCACAATGTTGTGCAACCATCACCCACTCTCAAGTCCCAGAACATCCTCATCATTCCAAAAAGAAGCCTGGTTCCTGTTAAGTGCTCACTCTCCATCCCCCTCCCCCAGCCCCTGACCACAATGGACATGCCTTTTCTCTCTGTGGATTGGCCTGTTCGGACATTTGCTACGGAAGGATCGTACAGTGCGTGGCCTGTGGTGTATGGCTTCTTTCACTGCGCACGATGTGTTTGAAACATGTCCATGTTGTATGGAGTGGGGTCAGAGCTTTGCCCCTTTTTATGGCTGGGTGATAGTCCCCTGCGTGCACGGACCACTGTCGTCTATCCACTCATTAGCTGGTGGGTGTCCAGGTCATTCCCTCCTTTTGGCCACTGTGACCCGTGCTGCTGTGAACATTTGTGTACGAGTTTTTGTGTGGATAGATGTTTTCGTTTCTCATGGGGACATGCCTTCCAGGAATAGAACTGCTGGGTCCTGTAGACCTCCATGTTCAACTTACTGAGGAACCATTAGGGCTCCTTGTAGTGTCAATCAGTCCAGGCTCCACCCTTCCTCTGTTCTCCATCAGTTTCTGTCGCAGCGTCCAAGAAGCTAACTCTCCCTCCCCGCTGCCCCCCCCCACCAGCCCCGGGCACCCACTATTCTACTTCCTGACTCTATTTGTCTTTCTTTGTCTGGCTTAGTTCACTCAACACAGTGTCCTCAGGGTTCATACATGTTGTGGCAAGTGTCAAAGTTTCCTTCCTTTTTAAGGTTCAACAGTGTTCCCTGGTATGGGTAGACCACGTTTTGTTTATATAGTCATCTGGTTGCTTCCATGTTTTAGCTATCGTGAATAACACTGTTAGAACTCGTGTGTACAAATATCTCCCAGAGTTCCTGCTTTTAATTTTTAATTTTTTTTTGGGGGGGGTCTACCCCCAGAAGTAGAATTGAGCTGGCTCTGATTCCCGGTGACCCTCTGAAGGAGTGATGTCCACAGTGTCCTGTCCTCAACAGCCCGCTCAGCTCCTGTGGGCTGGTGCCTGCGGCTTCTTTTGTGGGGTCAGTCCATCCTATATCTGGTCTCCCTCTTCTCCTGCTGCCTCCTATTTTTCCCAGCATTATTTTCTTTTCCAAAGAGCCCTGTCTTCTCATGATGTGCCTGAGGTAGGACAGTTTCATTTTTGTCTTTTTTGCCTCCAGTGCCATTTCAGGCTTCATTTGCTCTGGGACCCACTTGTCCATTTTTCTGGCAGTTCTGGGTGTCTCCCCTCCAACAGCACATTTCAAGTGAACCGATCTTTTCCCATTGGCCTCCTTCACTGTCCAACGCCCGCATCCGTGCACAGTCATCGGGAGGACCAGTGTGCAGATGATCTTAGAGACATCGGTGTCTAACCACGCAGCTTTGCTCTTGAGGATCTTTCCTAATTCTTCCATTGCTGCCCTTCTGGTCTCAGCCCTCTCCTGATTCCTTGGCTGCAGTCTCCATTTGAATTGGTGACTGAGCCAAAGTAAGCAAACTCTGCAACAATGGCAGTGTCTTGCTTCATCACCTGTGTCAAAGTTGCTCGTTTCTTCTGTAGTCTTGACACAGCCATTCTGCTCTCAGCTCCTTGAGGATGCTCCCCACCGTTTGCCACAGCCGTGCCGTTTCCAACCTCAGAAGTGCACAGAGGTCCCACTTTCTCCATGTTCTCACCAGCACTGCTTGCTGTCTGTTTCCTTTCAAGCCAGAGTTCCTTGATTTAAAATAAAATTGAAGAACACCTCAGTAAGAGAAGGGAGCTCTTCCTGCAGTTTTGGCCTAGTCCTAAAACATTGCCCGCAAAAGCAGTGCTTCTCAGCTGGGGACAGTTCTGCCCCACAGATGACACCTGGCAGTGTGGGGAGACATTTCTCGTCATTGAGACTGGAGGTGGGTGCTCCTAGCATCGAGTCATTAGAGGCAGGGGTGCTGTACAACGTCGCACAGTGCAGGGACGCCCCCACAACCAAGAACCACCTGGCCCCGAACGTCAGCAGTCGGTTCACAAACCCTGCTCTAACCTTTTCTCTGAACTTCAGGAAACTCATGTTGCTTCCAAACAATCTTCTCCTTTCAGGCTTAAGACACCCCGTTTCACATGTCACTGGTGAGAATTGTTGCTATGATGATCATCCCTTTTGCGCGGTGAGTACAGTGTGTCATTTTTTCACTCTGTCCTGGGCATAGATGGCAATAAGGACAGGCTACACCCTGGGGGCTGGGCCCATGGACTTGGGCAGTGTCGGTTCCTCAGGGCTCAGAAGACAGCCTGAGACACAGGTGGGGCTCTGGGGCTGCTTTCAGATCACCTGGCTGGCACACTATGAACATATCCATCCATCTTCCTTTTTTAAAAACTTATTTTGAAATAATTATAGACCCTACAGGAAGCTGAAAAAAATCAGGCAGAGTCCTATTTATCATTCACCCCGCTTCCCCCAATGGTCCTATCTTACATAACCTGAGTATCACACTAAAACCGATATTGACACAGATACAATATGCGTGAGGCTCTAGCATTTTATCACATTGTCACATCGCGGAACCACTACTGCCACTGAAACACCAGACTGTTCCATCACCCCAAGGCTGCATACCTCCCTGGCCGCTTGCTAATCAGTCCTCTGACTCAAAAATTGTATCACTTGGAGAATGTTATATAAATAGAATCTTACAATATATGGAGCCTTTGAAGATTAGCTTTTCTCCACTATATTCTCTGGAGACTCTTCCAATTTGTTGTGTATGTCTCTCGTCTGTGCCTTTCCATTGCCAGGTAAGATTCCACAAATGTACCAGAAATTGGTCACCTCCACTTTTTTGGCTATTGCAAAAAAAAAGTTACTGTGACCACTTGTGTACAGATTTTTGTGTGGACGTAAGTTTTCATTTTTCTGGGGTAAATGACTAGGAGTTTAATTCTTGGCATCAATCTCCCTTTTTTATTGAGATACAATTGACACAACGCTGTGTAAGTGTTAGGCGTTCAATGTGATGATCTGATACATTTGCATGTGGCGACGTGACAACCACTGCTGATGCCGCCGTCTGCTCGCCACATCGCCATGTCTTTTTTGGGGGTGGGGAACTCGAAGATCTAGTCTCTTAGCAACTTTGAAGTTTACAATATACTGCTGACGTCTATGATCACTCCACTGTGCAGCAGATCTGTCACAGGTGGGCACAGGTAACCAGGTTCTTGGTGATCGGGACAAAGAATTGAACCGAACACCCAGAGTTCATGGCAGAGAACATGGAATCAGGCCAACTCCTAGCAGAGATTGACCTCATGGGCTAGAGGACTCTGTTCTTATAGGGCCAATCCTTCCTGGCTAGTTTTGGCGGGCTTTTACTGTGCATGTGCAAGTAGTTGTATTACTTTAAAGCTGCTGCGCATGTGGTCTCCCATGATTTTCCCTGATTGGCCGCCAGGGAAGGAGGTCCCACAATGTTACCTAGTTGACTCCCACTTCTCCTGGGGTCCCCCTGTACTAGGTTCGCCTTGCCCATCACCAGAGTATTATAGCTCTTCACATTAGAGATTGGTGAAAAGGAAAGGAATTATTTATTCAAGTTATACAGAATTATGAGTAATGACTTACTGTCTTCATCAAAATCCCAAAGTTCCTTAAAACACCCACAAACACACACAGTACTTCCTTCCCCGCTTTGTCCGGTCTGAGGTACCGTATCTCAGGAAAAGAAGCAGAAGTCCGTGGCTCAGGCAGCCCCTGGTTCTTCCCAGTAATCCGTGCAGAGCTGGTAGGCGTCCATTGGTTCCCAGCAGCATTAGCTGTGTCACTGGGATCTCCAGCTACAGCCGCATGCTGGTTCTCTGCTAAAGCTGTGTGGTGATTCTTTGCTAAAGCCACATGGTGATTCTTCTCATGGCTGCGAAGGTTCCCACTCTGCCAAAAGCACGTGCTCCTCCTTTACAATGGCCGCCACACCTGGGTTTAAATCCCCGCGCCAGTCTTCCTCTGCAGCCCATTTCCGACTCCTCCCACAATTGGCTACACTTGCCAGGACTCCCATATCCTTCCAGCTTTACTGGGCTGCCATAGTGAGTCTGGGCAGGCGTGGCCTCCTGGCATGGAGCCAATCATCTCCAGGCTCTCACGCAGGCTCAGTAACCAGGGGAAGTTGCCTCCCAATTACGGTCTTGGGTGGAAGTCACTCTCTTCTCCCTGGCTCAAAGCTTGGCCACAGCTATTTAACATATCTATGAAACCAGTTAGAGGTTATAGATATGTTAAATGACCATGCCAGAGGTTAGCTGAAAAGCTGTTGCTATGCAAAACAGCTCTCAAGGGCCCTGCTCCAGGCATCCTATCCCCCATCTCAGACTTGTGGGGGGGCGGGTGTGTGTGAGGACATCCTATATATCTTTCTAATATTTCCTGGACACCTTGAATTCCGGACCCCATTACAAATCCTTCTTTTGGGGGCCCCCTGGCTGCACCCTCCTACAGATCTACAGGACTTATTTATCCACTGGGTACAACTTAGTGACCTTCAACAGCATCTCTCCACCCCCACTCCTGACATCTTTTAAAAAGACTGTTCTGTGTGTGTGTGTGTGTTTTCCAGGATATAAGTGATTCCATTTTTGCTTATTTGCGCGGAGCTGAGATATCTCAGACCACTATATATATCTCAGAAACCTGGGGATACAAATTTCACAAGTATGTCCATGAAAGACAGGTATGTTCATCTGGTAAGAGAGTGAACAAAAAAAGATATATATCTTGTGTGTGGTTGGGGTAATTAGCACTGAGTGGGTGAACCAGGACTTTCTCGCTCAGGAGGATAGGGCGAGTGCCAGGCCAAAGGAGCTGGCCAGGGAGGTTACAAAGTTAGGAAAAGGGACAAAAGCTTTTAAATGATAGCACATTTAGGGAGCACTCATGTAAACTTGTGACATAGCAAAAGGTGAACATTCATTATAATGCTTAACCCCGCACCCACCTGAAGATCAGTACCATTGTCACCCCCATTTTTAAAAAATGCTTTTTATCCTTACCCAAGGGCATTTTTTCATTGCTTTTAGAGAGAGAGGAAGGAAGAGAGAGAGAGAGAGAGACATCAATTGGTTGCCTCTCATATGCGCCAGGACTAGGGATTGAACCTACATCCTAGGCATGTGCCCTGACTGGGAATTGAACCCACAACCTTTCAGTTGTGAGATGACACCCCAACCAACTGAGCCACACAGACCAGGGCCATTATCCCCATTTTACAGATGAGAATGGTACTGGGTTGAATGTGTCCCCCACCAATTATATCCACCCAGAACCTCAGAATATAACCTTACTTGGAAATAGGGTCTTTGCAGATACAATTTGCTAAATCAAAATGAGGTCATAAAGGATTAGGTTGGACCCACAGTCCAATGACTGGCGTCCTTATAAGAAGAGATGAGGATGCAGAGAGATGCTCACAGAAGAGAAGGCTGTGTGAAGACGGAGGCTGACCCTGGAGAGATGGATGCAGCTGCAAGCCAAGGAATGCCAGGCACTGCTGGCAACCACCACCAGCTAGAAGGGAGGGTATGGTGTGGGTTCGGTCTCACAGCCTCGGAAGGAACCAACCCTGCTGGCACTTTGATTTCAGACTCTGGCTCCCTAACTGTGGAATTCAATGTCTGTTATTGGAAGTGCCCCCCACCCCCAAAAATGTAGTATATTTTCTGGCAGCCGGAGGAAACTCATACAGGGATAAAGGCTCAGAGAGCCTTTGCCAAGGCCACGCAGCCTGGCAGAGCTGAGATTCCCACAGCTGAAGTGGACAGGATGTTTGTGTAGCTAAGACAATGAGGACATCCTATTCTGACTCAGAGAATGGCCGTTGCCCCCACACACTTGTGGGAGTATGTCTAGAGGAAGGCAGACAGGCTACTCCACACTCAAGCTCTGAGCATGTCTCAGATCTGGTTTCTCAGCCCTGCCCAGGAGGCCCAACGAAGCCTAGAGCCTAACCGGCCAGATGTCTTTCACTTGCAATTAGACCTATAAGCACCCAGAGGCTGCCAGTGCAAATCTGGAACCCAGAGGCTGGAACACCAGGAGCTCTGTTGTCTGAGGGCAGGAGAAGATGGACATCCCAGATCAAAGAGAGAGAGTGGATTTGCCCCTCCTCCACTTTTTTGTTCTCTTTGGGCCCCCAGTGGATTGGATGATGCCCACCCACATTGATGAGAGTGGATCTCCTTTACTGGGTCTACTGAATCAAAGCTAATCTCTTCCAGGAACACCCTCATGGACGCACCCAGAGATAATGTTTTACCAGCTCTCTGGGCATCTCTTAGTCCTGCCAAGTGGATGCATAGAATTATCCATCCTAAGTCCACTCTTGTCAATTTGACACTCATATGCATCTCCTTCAAACTGAATCTCCAAATAAAGACACTAACAAGGTCATAATCTCACCCAGCACAATACAACCATCCTTTGTTCAACAAAAAATGCACTAACCACTCCCCAGGAGAAGGAGCATATCCTAGAGTAATGTGTACTCTTCTCTTTGATGTCCCATCACTTACATACCAATTATTAACACAAGAGTCTTTTTGTTCTGTGTGTGTATGCGTGTGATGGACCTTTGGGAGATGTTTAAATCATAAGGGTGGAGCTCTCGTGAATGAGATTAGTGCCCTTGTAAAAACGGCCCCAGAGAACTTGCTAGCCCACTTTCACCTTGTGAGGACACAGTGAGAAGTCTGTGACCCAGAAGAGGGCCCTCTTTTGACCATGCTGGCACCTTGGTCTTGGACTTTCAGCCTCTGGAATGGAGAGAAATAAATGTCTATTGTGGATGAGCCACTAGTCCGTGGGATTTTCTCACAGCAACCTGGATGCACTAAAACAGGAGCTTAGGGCTTTGACCTCTGAATTTGGGGGGAGCACAATTCAGTCCATAGCACTGTATATTATAGAACTCTTCCCTCCTCCCCCCCAAAAAACCCACAGAGGCTTAATTAAGAGAGTGGTCTCTCTCTTACCTGAAAGATGACAGCTGGGCCTTGTGCTCCAGCTTGGCTGCTGGGCACTCTGCTGACCAGCCGAGAGTCGGGAATGAGGAACCTAGGCAGCAGTGAAGGACCCGGGCTTGCCTCTAGCTGTCTGGGCCACACCGCTGTCTCCAGCACCCCGAAACAAAGCTGTCTTCACTCAAGGTTCTGCCCTACATGCTACATTTCCATAGAGGAAAAATGGATCATAATTAAAAAAAAACTTCATTGTAGCTTACTGGATAATCTAAAATTAAATATAGGATGAAACATATGCTTATAATTTATCCACATGTGACTTTGTTTGTTGTTTAACAGACGGCACAAGTCGGGGCTCTGGGTGGGATCTTCCACCTGCACTCCCTGTCGCAGGTCGGGCTGCTCGCCTCCGACCAAGGCAAGGTGAGTCCCATGGGCTGGGAAGAATGACTTAAACGACCTTTGCCCCAAGCCAGGTTTTTATTAAAACTCACACATTTGAATAGAAAGAATTTTTTAAAGAACTCAAGAAAATCCACACACCCTTGGATTTTCATCTCTGAAATCCACCTAGCTTTTCATTTACCTATCCCTCCATGTATCCATCCACCTGACCATCCCCCCATCCACTCATCCATTCAACCACGCATCCATCCACCCACTTGCCTACTTGTCAGTCCATGTGTGCACCCACCCATCTACCCACCTTTCATCCAGACGCCCACTCGCCCACCCACTCCCCCTTCCGCCCTACCCCCACTCCCTTGCTCATCGGGTCACTCACTGGGCAGGATCTCAGCCGTGGCCGGGTGGTGCTGAGCACTGGGGAGAATCTCAGGATGTGGTGTGTGTCACAGACGGGAACAGATCATTTTAAATACCTGATGTCAAATTTGTTAAAACAATTTTCATGGATGTTCAGAAAATCCATGTGTAAAACCTATGCCCTCACAGACCTCATTTAAAATAAGACTAAGAAGAGGAGTTTGTCCTTCTAACCTGCATTTGAAGAAAAAATATTAAATAGGCAGGGATTGCATACAGTTGGGACCTGGTATTGCAAAAATTGTGAGGGGGTGTACAGCTCTGAAGTTTGGGGGAGACCCACCACCAAGAAGCCTCCAGAGCTTGGGTTGATATCTGGTGGCCGAAAGCCCCACCCTCTAACACGTGATTGGTCCAGACCCCACCCAGAGTCCCCTCATTGGCATAAACTGCTAGGCTGTGCTGAATTACAGAGACATGCCCACTACTCTGGAAATCCCCAGAATTTGGTGGCTGAGGAGTCCAGCTCCTGGTTACAGTCTGCTGCCATGAGTTTTCAGGCTGACCACAGGCAGGCAGGAAAGCTTTATCTGGCAGGCGTCCAGGGGTACACTGCCCTCCCCACTCCAGACTTGGGGCAGGATGAATCAAGACGATTTGCAGGCTCTGAAGGACTTGTAGTGGACCCAGGCCCAGTGGGCAGCCTTCATTGCTAGGTCTTTACCTTCCATCTTCTGCCTCGTCCTCTTCAGGAGCCTCCCTAGGGAGGGAGGAGTAGAAAGCCTGGCTGACGCTTTCCTCCACTTGGACTCAGAACTTAGTGCCTTTCTGCTCCCAGCCCCAGGCCCTCCCTGCTTCCCTGGCTCCTGCGTACATACCAGTGCAGGAGCCTTTTGTGGGACTCCCTCCATTGAGGAGCCCCTCACCTGTGCTGATCCAGCAGGCCCTCCCCTGGTGTGACCTTCTGCAGGGTGGGGGGCCCGGGACAGAGGGCTGCTGTTTCCTCTGGCCTGTTCTCTCCTCCACCCCACTGCAGTAAGCAATGAAAGGCTGAACTCTTTCATGTTTGTCTTGTTGCCTTAATTGGCTGTGCAGATGCAGGCAGCTCAGCTGGGCAATTCTAATATCTGGGACCAAGGCCAGCTAGTTCACAACACAATGGGATGAGCTTGGGGGTGAGAACTCACCTTCGCTGGCTCCTAGGCACCTCATGCTGATAGGCCTGGCCAGTGTCCATGGCAGGGAGGGGAACAGGACTAGTCAAGTTCAGCAGCCTGTGCACAGTCCATCCTCACCCTGAGCACTTAGTTCTCTCCCCAGGAGGTGCTTAGAAAACCAGCCAGTAGCCTCTCCCTCCTCTCCAACGTGCATCTTCAGGGAAGGGGATGCAGCTGCCTTGCTGGGACTCACTTATGAATCGTGGCAGTGCTTTTTAAAGTCCCACCCTTGCACAGTGCTGTTGGAGTCTTTCATAAAGAGCAAATAAGAGAGAGCTTTGACAATCATGCAGAACAACTTAGATTTGACACTGGAGCCAGCCCTGAGAGAGCTGCACGGTGTGAGTAGAGTGGCTTCATGGAAAAGGCTGTTAGGGAGAGAGCCTGGGGTGTGCACACAGGTGGGATGGGAGAGAGAAATCAACTCCAATATTAATTCAGGGACGAGGGTGCCAACACGAGCCTGGCAGAGAGCTGGGGAGAGCAGAGCACCCTCGGCACTGTGGACATTTTTGGTGAATAGTTCTCTATCGTAAGAACCCATCTTGGGCACTGAGGCCAGGGGGCCTCACCCTTTATGCCAGGGCCACCCCCAGTGTGACTACCATAGACATGCCTGGTGTCCCCAGGGGGCAGAATCTTCCCAAACTGAGAGCCACTGGACAGATAAGAAAGTCTGAATGAAGTTTGAATAACGAGGCCTGTGGATCTGCACCTGTATGTTGCCCTGTGATCTAGGACTTGGTAACGTCTTCTATCCCTTGAGATTCAGTTCTCTCTCTCTCTCAGGCCAAGTTTGTGTACTCGGACCACCCACTGAACCAAAGTTTTGGGCTGCCCTTTGACTACAATGGGACTCTTGACATCCTCATCGTCCCAGGCCAGAAAGGTTTTCTGATCTTCTGGTTTGAGAAGAGCCTGTTAGCTTCCCGAAATGCAGGTGAGCAAGGCCCAGGCTCAGGGCTGCCACTTGGTGTCCCCCTCCAGGCAGCAAAAGCACATGTCATTATTTTCCCTCCCCTGACTTGAGTAGACAACAAGGAACCCTTTCTCACTTTGCCATCCTAACTGCAGCCCCCCAACCCAATCCCCTGCCTTGTGGGACCTTCAGGGGCACATAGATAGGTTTGGAAAGTCACCAGACGCTGAGGGCATAGGATCCAAGTCTTGGGTCCAGGAACTGCAGATCTTGTTTGGGGGCTGAGGTTAGGGATTCCAGGAGATGAGTCAGGACCACTCACTTGAGCTTCCCTCAGAAGAGAGAAAAATCTGGAAGTGGCACAGCACCTGCACCTGGACTAGCTGAGGAATCCTGGCAGTGCCCATGTGATGTGAGCCCCAGCCCACCAGCTAGCATAAGTAGAGGATCAAAAGGCAGCCCTCCCTGAAGAGGTGCTGTCAGGAACCTCTGGGCACAGGGGTGGCTGCAAGAGCACCTGCAATCACAGCCAGTTACACCCAGCACCAGTCAGACTACCTGAACACCATGTTCCCTGCAGTGCAAGAAAAGGTCTCGGCTGACTGGTGTGATTCAGTGGGTTGGGTGTTACCCCACAAAGCAAGAGGTTGCTGGTTCTATTCCCAGCAGGGCACACATCTGGGTTGCAAGCCAGGTCCCTGGTTGGGGGAGTGTAAGAGGCAACCGAGGCAACCAATTGATGTGTCCCTCCCTCTCTTTCTCCCTCCATTCCCCTCTCTCTAAAAAATAAATAACTAAAATCTTTAAAAGAAAGAAAGGCAGAAAAAGGCTCAAGCCTGGCCAGCCTGTTTTGAGAGCCAATTCTAGAAAGAAAGTTTTGTTTGTTTGTTTGTTTGTTTGTTTGTCTGAGAGAGGAAGGGAGAGGAACACTGATTTTTATTGTTCCACTTACTGGTAGATTCTCATATGTCGGCTATCAAACCCACAACCATGGGGTATTGGGACAATGCTCTAACCAACTGAGCTACCTTTGCCAGGGCAAGAAAACTCTGTCTTATTCCTTATACACGTCACCTGTACAGTAAAAGGCATTCTGTGATGTTCAAGCCTCCAGACGGTGAAAAAGCTTCCTTAAGCCTAAGTGTATTCCGAAGGACGTTTTCAACATTGCATCTCAGTGTTTTCTTTTTCTTGAACCTTTATCATTTGGGCCACAAACCAAGGGATGGGGTGGGTGGCATTTCAGCAGTGGACACCCCCTTCCAACGCGTGCCCAAATCTCATGATTCTGCCTCGTTGTCTTGTAGGTCAGCTCGTCAACCCCGTGCAGGTGCAAGAAGGGTCACACACTGTGTATTCTTCTGTTTTTGAAACCAACATCACCATCCACAGCGTGGCTGCCAGTGCGTGCTTAACCTGCGGGTAGCTTTTTAGTGGAAATATCTGTCTAGGTCCTTGGCCCATTTTTTAATTGAGATGTTTGTCTTTTTACTGTTAAGTTGTAAACATTCTTTATATATTCTTGATGCAAATCCCTTATCAGGAATAGGTTCTGCAAATAGTTTCTCCCAGGCAATGTCTTGTATTCCCACTCCTTTTTTAAAACCACTGGGTACACATCACCTGCCATGGGTAGGATCTGTAATGCTCTCTTATTTTCTAAAGAACGAAGTTCAGATTCACAAGGATGACATTCATGTCCATGTGCAGTCACATCTCATTGACTTCCCCCCACCCCGAGGGATCCTTGTGTCCACCTAATGTGTGGAGGCTTTTGTGGTTGTCAGGGCTCCGGATGCTCCTGGAACCTTTTGCCCACCATCATACAATTCACAGGACAGCCCCCACCATGAAGACCCATCCAGCCCCTAATGTGGGGTCCCAGTCCATGGGGCCCACGCTGAGAAACCAGCAGCGTTAGTCCATTCGTTGCCCTGTAAGCACACCTCATTTCCACATCAGATGCTTTTTCAAGGCTCAGCTTAAGCCCCACTTCTTCTGAAAATGGTTGCTGTAAAAGTTAAAAAAAAAAAAGAATAGAAATATTCGTGATGGTGTGCTGTGCTCCTGGGAACTTTGCACATGCAGGGATCAGGAACGACCGTGCTGTCCATCCCGTGGGGGGCTGGCTGAGTCGGGTCTAGTTCACCTGGCACTGGAACTTCAACCGGCCAACTACACTCATGCACACAAAAGGAAAGAAAACATTAAGTTACAAAGCAGCTGGGAAGGTTCCAGAATATGATCCCACATATATAAAAATACCAGAAAAGATGTTTATTAAAATGTTGCCAGTGGTTACTCATGTCAGGGCTCAGTAACCCCTGGCCCATGGGCCAAACAGCCCACAGACTGTTTTTGTGAGGAAGGTTTTGCTGGAACGCAGTCCTGCCTGTCCATGCATGCGTTGTCCAGAGCTGCGTTCACAGAGTCGAATACTTGTGACAGCCATCATGTGAGCAGCAAAGTGGAACATATTTGCCATCTGGTCCTTTACAGAAGTTTGCTGTAGATGATGGAATTGGGGGGTAATTTTTTTTAACTTTATATTTTTAATATTTTTGTCCACTGAAACCAGCCTCATTTCAACTTTTGTTCTGTCTTGTTTATTTTTTTTCTAGATGAAAATGAACTAGCAGTTTTAACTCGGGAGAGTAATTTGTATTATGGCAGCTTGGGAATCCTGACAAATTTCATGATCAAAGTAGGTAAAATCAAGTTAGGGTTATTGTCGGGTTTGTAAGAAGTAACAGTCTCGTACTCAAACTTCCAATACTGTTTCTGAAGGCCAGAAATTGCTCTAGTTATTAAAATAGTAACACCATTTTAATAGCAGTAGTAATAACAAAATTTTAATTGATATTAAGTTGTGGGGGGACTCTGCCCACAGAGCCTGACCCCCCCTGCCCCTGTCTGCCACAGATGAGAATAAGTCTACCAAGACATGATCTGCTTGGGGAGGAAAGGTGGCCGATCTCTCAAAGGAGAAGGGCCAGGAGCCTGTTCCTCAACGGGCTCTTATTGGGTTCAATTTGCACAGGAATATAGGTAAAGCTCATCAATCATTGTCAGGCAGTAAGGATCAAACAATAGATAACATTCAAAGAACTATGAAGGCCTATTCTGAGTCAGGGTCAGATAGCTAAAGGGCCATAAAACTCTGGGGAAACAAATTCATTTCAGTCTTGGACCCTTATCATTTAAATTGAGGGTATTAGCAAAGCAGGCTTCACAGGATTTTATGCATTCTTTCTTAGGCCTGATCACTCCAGGAAACCCACCCTTTCCAGCACAGGGCCACATTCACCTCTGGCATTGTTTCAGGCTTAAGTCAGGCAGCCAAAAGATTAGGAGACTTCTTGCAGACAGAATGAGGACTCAGGCTTTGTCAAAGCCGAGGGGTGAGGGTCCATCACCCCCTTTTGCTATAGCCCCCCAAGTCCTTCCCTGAGAGTTCCTTTGTGACCACGCCTGTCTTAGGTCGTCCCTCCCTTGAGGAGTCTTTCCTGTCATTGGCTAACCAGTCATCCACCTGGGGCCAAACACAGGGAAGTAAAAGGGGGCAGAGGCAGCGTCCCTACCAGAAAGATAAGCTTTGTCTCCTTAGTGGCTTATGATCCCAAGGTCTCTCACTCAGCCTTAGCCATGAGGGGATTACGGTTTCTGAAACAAAGCAGGGCAGTTCCCAACATTAAGTTATTCACATTAACAATTTTACTAGCAAAATTAATTTTAGTCGATATTAAAATAACAGCAATGGCAGCTAAAACTTACTGAGTGCTTAGAACGTGGCAGGTGCTGGCCTGAGCATCTTCTGATTGCTACTTCATTTAACCCTGACCATTGCCTTAAAAAGTAGACCCTTATGCTGTCCCCACTGGACAGATGGACAGACTGGGGCATGGAGAGGTGAAGTCACTTGTCCGAGGTTACAGTGGTAGGGAGTGTGACACTAGACTCTCTCACCTTATTTTGTACATGATGCTTATCTAATTTTATTTCACTCTCACAACCACGCCATGAAGGAGCCAGTATCATTCAAGTTTACAGGGAGAAAACGGAAGTTCAACTTCCCCTCTCGTTAGCACCTGAGCCAGAGAAGACCCCCAATCTGCTGCTACTTCAGTGTTCTTCCTGTTAGATCCACAGCCACCACATTTCCTGAAAGGTGCCAACCATGGAATTAAGAAAGCATCACTGTTTCTTTGAAGCCTTAACCCTGACATTCTAAGGACCAGTGTTTTCTGGGGAGAGATTCTGTGGCTTTTCTGATTCTCCAAGGAGGTCTGTGATAGGAAACACAGTTTCCATCATTAATTTAAACACCCAGGGATAAATGAAACTTAAGAGTAGGTGTCTCAACAGAGTATATCTTTGACTTTGCTGTTTGTTTGTTTGTTTGTTTGGTCTGCCTTCTTTACACCTAAATCCTAAAACAAAATGTATACCCTCAAAAAAGAATTAGAATGACCTGATTTCAGAAATTACTTTTTTTTTTTCAGTTTGCACACCAAAATGTCTGGTCCCAAGAGTCAGCCCTGATGTTCAATAACCTGGGGATGCTTGAAATCCTGACCCCACTTCCTGATTCGGTTTTTCCAGCTTTTGATTTCCAGAAGTGCCTTGTGAATATCCAGGCAGTTCTCATGGACCCCCAACTCCAAGTTGATGTATGCAAAGTATGTGATCTTAACTGTTTAGCTCCATGTTTTTAAGACACTGTGTTTTTGTGTTTGTTTGTTTGTTTGTTTGTTTGTTTTTAAGGCAAATCCCAGAGACCCAGAGTTGGGCATCTGTGGCTGGCAAACGTGTAGGACCTCACGTAGGGTTGATTGCTGCTAAGATTTAGGATGCCCAGTTAAATTTGAATTTCACATAATGATGAAGTCTAGCAACCAGCCACCAATGCCCCAAAGGCTGGCACCCACGTCTTGTACAATTTCCTGTTTGTTCTTTCAAAATGAAACATATTTCACTTTTAGTAGATGCTCTTTTTAATAAGAAAGTCAACCAACCCTCAAAATTGTTCAGAAGATAAAAAAGTAAGTGATATGGCCCTGGCTTGTATAGCCCGGTGGATTGAGCACTGGCCTGCGAACCAAACAGTCCCTGGTTCAATTCCCAGTCAGGGCTCATGCCTGGTCCCCAGACAAGTCCCCAGTAGGGGTGCTCAAGAGGCAATTGCTTATTGATGTTCCTCTCCCTCTCTTTCTCCCTCCTTACCCTCTTGCTAAAAATAAAAAAAAAATCTAAGAAAAAAAGTAAAGTAAGTGATATAGTTATCATCACCACAGGTGGTAAAAGAAAGTCGTGGCTCCACAGAAACTTCCCTCTGGAGAGGGAGATTCATTTGGGCTCAAGCTGTCTGCCGGGCTATGGGGCATCAGCCTTGACTTTGGCCAGGCAAGCTGATTGAAAAGAGGGGAAAACTGGCCTGGCTGGTGTGGCTCAGTGGACTGAGTGCCAGCCTGGGAACCAAAAGGCTGCTGGTTTGAGTCCCAGTCAGGCACATGCCTGGGATACAGATATCTCTCTAAAAATACATAAATAAAATATTTTAAGAAAAAAAGGGGGAAATCATAGGCATATAAAAATATGCATCTATTAACTTGGATTTATTGTTCTGCAAGTGATGGGAAATCCAAATCAAATGGGCTTAAACCAGAAAGGCAATTGTTGACTCTAGGACCAAAAAGTCCAAAGGGGGAAGAAAGACTTCAGGTGAGGCTTGATCTAGTAACTGAAATCATGCCCCCAGGGGCCGGCTTCATTCCATCTCACCACTGCCAGTGTTTCAGTGTTTCATGCTTCATCTCAAAGCTCCATCTGGATGCCTCTGGGAAGCCCAATTCTTAATATCATGGCAACAAGCTGGCAGCCAACCCTAAAGACCTGGCATCCTCACACTATATCCCGGGCAAGAGAGAGGGTCTCACTAGAACCCTGCAGAAGCCAAGAGAAATCCCAGCATGTCTCTACATCTCATTGGCTCAGAGAGGATGACATACCCATTCCTGGGCCAATCACATGGCTGGAGGTGAGCCAATAAGAACCCTGTCCTGGAGATGGTCTGGTCAGTTCACCACCCACCAGGACACATGTCCAAGGACATGCAAAAGGGTGATTTGCAGAAGGAAACCGGGGCTACTCTCAGGAAGGGGGAGCAGCTGCTGGACTGATACAGTAAAATGTCTTTTCTAGGCTTCTCCAGAATCCATCTCCCCCACCTCTTGCCCCGTCCCTGGCAATCACGTGGTCAGAAGTACAGAAAGTTTTTCCTAACTTTATTTTTATTTTTAAATTTTTTTCCAGTTTTAATGAGATATTATTGACATATAACATTGTATTAGTTTCAAGTCTACAACACAAAGATTTGATATATGTTTATCTTGTGAAATGCTCATCACAGTAAGTCTAGTTAACATCCATCCCACACATAGCTACAAACCTTTTTCTTACGATGAAAATTTTTGCAACTTTCAAATATGCGATGACTATTAGCCATAGTCACCATGCCATACATTACATCCCCAATATCTTATAACTGGAGGTTCGTACCTTTTGACCCCCTTCACCCACTCCAACCACCCCCAGCCTCTGCCTCTGGCAACCACCCGCCTGTTCTCTGGTTCTAGCAGTTCAGCTTTTTGAGATTGCACATAGGAGTACAAGTGAGGGCACACAGGATTTCTTTTGCTGACTCATTTCACTCAGCATAATACCCTCAAGATCTATCCATGTTGTCACAAATGGCAGGACTTCCTTTTTCTTTTTAAGGCTGAACAATATTTCATTGTGGATAGAGCTGTGGACAGATACACATCACATCTTCTCTGTCCATTTAGTCGCTGGCGGACGCGGGTTGTTGCCATAGCTTGGCTGTTGGGAATAGTGCTACAAGGCAGACGGGGGCGCGTGTGCCCCTTCGGGATAGTGATTTCATTTGCTTGGATAAATACCCAGAAGGGGAATTTCCAGGTCATATGGTGGTCCCATGTTTCATTTTTTGAGGCCCCTGTACTGGTTTTCACAGTGACTGCCCAAATGTCCACACCCAAGGAAACGCCACCTGAGAGCCCATCTTCTGCAGTAACCTCATTCCATCTTCCAGTGCTCGAAATGCATTAAATCAGCTTGGTGCTGCCCTGACTGGTGTGGCTCAGTTGGTTGGATGTCGACCCGCAGAGCAAGGGGCTGCTGGCTCGATTCCCTGTCAGGACGTATGCCTGGGTTGTGGGTTCGGTCCCCAGTCAGGGCACGTACAAGAAGCAACCTCCCATTTCCTCTAAAAATAAATAAATAAAATCTAAAAAATATATATCAGTTTAGTCCCACACTCAGGATCACAGATCTCTAGGGCTACTCCCACTCTGAGGGGCTAAGATTTCCGAGTGTCCACTTCTAAATGGCCTTCGAACACAGGGCACTCAGTGAATGAGGAAAAGATGAAAGCAACTGTGCCATGCACAGAGTTCATGGATTTATTAAAACACCCTTTTATGATACAATGGTGCTAATGGATAGTAGTGGTTTTACTTATCTGCCACAATAAAATGTCAATCCCTAGCCAGTGCAATTTTCTTGTGGGTCCCTGAAATCACATGTCTGAGAACTGCTGGTCTTATGTACATGTAGAGGGAGGCAAGACAGAGGAAGAGAAGTAGTAAGGCTTTTTTTCCCACGGAAAAAAATACAGCCTCACAAAAATCCAACGGTGAAAGCTGGAACAACTTAAACAACAAAAATAAACAGCGCCATATTGGATAATAAGCCAAAGCATAATATAAACATGCACAAGTCCGTATGGGTGTAAATGAGTGTCGGGATACATAAAGGGCACAGAAACACGTTCCCTCGCAGAAGAATTCCCAGTAAGGTAGCCACATCGCTCTCCAGGCGGTCAGGCTCACCCCCACCCCTCCTGGCCTTAGTGTGTCTGGCCCTGGTGACTTGCTCATGAAAGGACAGAGTGGAAAGGGAGGTTTCTCCGTGGCGGAGAAAGCTGACAGACACAGCTTTAACCAGTCCAGCACTGACATCGACAGTGATGAGTCACATGGCTACGACGAGATGTCCCAGTGTATCTTGTCCATTTTCCACCCCAGACCTGGAGCCAGCCACTTCTCCAGGAAATGACTCATGGGTTACCTTCTAGAGGTGGCAGCAAACTAATCCACTATCTGGAAAACTGAGGAAATAAAAGCCAGGACATAGGCATGTATCCCACCTTTTCTTCATGCCATTCTATTAGGCCAGGAAATAGAAGGAAGCAGTCTCCTGATAAACTTATTCTGGTGAATATATGAAAAAAAATACTAGGATAGCGTCACATGGCAAGACCAGCAAATTAACAGCCACCTACATTTAAAAAAAAAGAGATAGCTGGCCATTACGTGCCATCGACGTGAGAACAGTTGCCTGTGGAGTCTTGCCAACACAGCACAGCCCAGCCGGACGGGTCCAGCCGCTTTCTCTGGAAGTGCAAAGCACAGAGGGCTGGGCCCAGCTGTGCCAGGAAAATCCAGACTGCGGGACGTCTGCAGCCCAGTGGCTGGGGCTGGAGGGGAAGCTGTGGATGGAAAGAGACTTAAAAGACATAACACTGGAAACAGGTGAGACCAAGGTAGATCAGGATGCATGCCTGGTGACAGCTCTAGGAAGAAACGCAAGGAGAAAGGCAGTTACCACAAAGGTCAGGCAGGAGGTACTTCTGGAGAGAGCAGGGGACCTTGAAGACCTCCTGAAAGTGCAGGAGCCCGTGGGGAAGGGGTGCGAGTGAAAGCCAGGGCTGCTGCACCCACAGCACCAGAAGGTTCCATCCCTCAGGGAGACCACTGACCACCCCTACCTACTTGCCCTTTTCTTTTAGGAAACAGGCTTAATTAAAACTTTTTTGCATTCCTAACTAGGTAGAACTTCTGCAAGGAGAATTTGAAAACAAAATGTATGTCATTGATATGAACAGCAAGTTGGAGTTGACCGCCCTGATGATACCCAGGCCGGGCATGTCACTGATCCCACTCGTAAGGACATCTCCTTATCTGTTGGACGAGTGTTTCTGATACATGATGTTCCCAGCGTTCTTGGCCTCTCGTCCTGTGTCCATTGCTCCCAGACCCAGGAAACCCCCTGGTGTCCTCCTGTGGGAAGACACGCGCTCCTGAGGGCCATAGAAACTCTCTCCGTCTCTCCCCTCTCCCAGCCTCTACGTGAATGGGCAGATGGAGCCGAGCCTTTGCCCTCCTTTCTCGCTGTCCCTGCGCCTCACTCTCTGCCCTTCTGAGCTGCCCCGTGTGCTTTCCACAAGTTCCTTCTCTTAGAGCCGTGACTCACGGCCTTCCCTTGCGCAGCAGGGGTGCCTGAGAAATGGCAGGGGGCCTGGACCTAGAACCCAGGCCTGGAAACGGGGGCAGATTAGTGTAAGGACATGAAGGAAAGTCCAGCCAGTCAGGCCCGGGGCCAGGGAGGGGACACCGGGCTATGTCTGGCTCTCACCCAGAGTCCTCTTCTCACACCAGGGCTGGGTCTGGACCCTGCAGCTCAGCGGCTCCAGGCTATCTGTAGGAGGAGGCTTAAAGGCCACAATTAGGGGTTGTGCACGAGGCGAGGGGGGGCATTTGGGGATAGGACTGGCAGGTGCACTTACAGAGCAAGCTCAGTTTTTACTCTCAAGATGCACAGCAGTCACCGGCAGGTAGCGGCACCCCAGTGGCACTCCTAATGCCTCTCCTGTCCCCACCCCAGGCGGTGGTGAGCAACCCACACTCTGTGGGGCTGCAGGCCATCGCATATGAGGACGGCTACACCTACGGAGGGAACACGAAGCACAAGCTGGTGAGCTGCACCCCTCCCCAAACCGGGATCAACGAGATGTAAGGGCATGGCCTTGACCACCCCGGCCAGGTCCAGCGCCTGTGGTCACTCCCTGAGCCTGTCCCTCCTTTTCCTCTCTTCTCCTTGTGTGTACCTGCGATAGGTGCTGCAGAACTTGGGGGAAACAAATCCCCAGCTTTTCCCCAACTCAAGCAGGCAGCAATTACCCAAATGAGTGACATCATTAAGGTGTCACATGGGAGAGGCGCAGAGTACGTGACAGGAAATCTAACCCAGCCCCAGGGAAGACAGGAGATCTGTATTAGCTGGGTAAACTGAGGTGTCAGAATGGAGGGAACCAGGGGGACCAGGAGGCGCTTGGACATATGGGTCTGGGGGATCCACAGGGCTCAGCCAGACCTCTTGGTTGTACCCCAGAATCTGGACTTGAGCCCAGAAGTCCAAGATCGAGTGGTGCAGCTCCTGCAGGACAAGGCATGAGTTGGCTGCAACAAACTCTTTGGACCAGTGCTTGTCGCTTCCCAGAGTAAAAAGAAGAACAGAGTTACACCTCGCACTGGGTCCAGGACAAAGGCAGCAAGGGAATGAAGGAGCTTGAGATGGCCATGTCCATGAGCTTCCCGAGACCTGGCCTCAGTAGTGGGATTAGAACCGGGAGCGGCCTAGGTGGTTTCCAGGCTCCTCCTCCCAACACCCCCTCCCCCGGCCCTCTCCCTGAACCCAGCCTCGGGACTGGGACTGACCACCGGGCTGTGGCAGCTGGGTTTTCTCTCTCGCTCTGCTCCGCAGAACATCTCCCTGAGGCAGCAGCACCACTCCGGCAGGGCTGACCCCAACTTCACCTCCAGGTATGGCATCACTTGGACCAGGGCAGGCGGCCCCGGGCTGTCCCTAGGGTTCCCTCGGCAGGAGCCGGGAAAGCAAGGCCAAGTCTGAGACTCCCCGATGACAGCCGGAAAGGCGAGAATGATTAAAAATAGGAGGATAAATGGTGACGGAAGGAGACCGGGCTTGGGGTGGCGAACACACAGTACAATGTACAGATGATGTATATAGAATTGTACACCTGAAACCTATATGATTTTAGTAACCGATGTCACCCCAATAAATTCAATTTCAAAAAAGAAAAATTAAGACACCTTATAAAAGGTGGTTCCACAAAAATTAAACATAGAATTACTGCAAGATCCAGAAACTCCGCTTCGGGCACGTGCCCAACGACTGAAGCAGGGTCCCAGGGAGACGTCCGCGCAGCCAGGTTCACAGCAGCGCCCTTCTCAAGGGCCGGGAGGCAGAAGCAGCCTAGGTGTCTGCTGACGGGTGACTAGGTGCACAGGTCGCGGTGCTCGTACACCGTGGGATGTTATCCAGCCTTAAGAAGGAAGGACACTCCGACCCCTGCCACGGTGTGGATGAACCTTGACATCCCACTCAGTGCAATAGCCAGATGCAGAAGGACGAACACTGTGTGATCCCACCCGCAGGACATCGCCAGAGTGTGTGTGTCGACAAAGAGTATGTTTTAATCCTGTGTACAGGACTTTGTGACACTGTTATAGAATTGAAACTTGCCAAGAGAATAAAATGAAATGCTCTCACATAATAATAATAATAGTAATAATAACACATGTGTGAAGTGATGGATGTGTTAATTAACTTTCTTTTTTGATTTTTTATTTTTTTTCAATTACAGTTTACATTCAATATTATTTAGTATTAGTTGTAGGTACAGCATAGTGGATAGATAATCACACACTTCACAGAGTGTCCCTCCCCCCAATTAACTTCCACTGTGTGTACATATATCAGACAAATCATCGCATTCTGCACTTTAAATATCTTACCGTTTTATTTGTCAGTCATACCTCAATATAGCTGAGAAATGTAAAGTTAAAGAATTGTGTGTTATTAATATAGGATTATGTTCTTCTCTCTGGTACTTGTGGTAAATTTATCTATTTATTATAAATGTATTTAAAAGCTACTTAATTTTTTATGTGCTTGGCTATAAAAAATAAGTTCTCCCAGTGGAAATTTTCAGATTACACTCTCAGACATGAATCCAACAGAACTAGAACTCAACAACCAAAAAAATAAAAAAGCGCCCTGGCTGGCATAGCTCAGTGGATTGAGCGCGGGCTGTGAACCAAAGTGTCTCAGGTTCGGTTCCCAGTCAGGGCACATGCCTGGGTTGCAGGCCACAGCCCCCAGCAACCACACATTGATGTTTCTCTCTCTCTCTCTCTCTTTCTCCCTCCCTTCCCTCTCTAAAAATAAATTTTAAAAATCTTAAAAAAAAAATGCAACACTACCCAAATCCCATTTACTTGGAAATTAAGAAGCACCCTTACAAATAACTCCTGAATCAAAAAATTATTGAAATACAGCCAAAATATACTGAAAGGAAAGTTTACACCCTAAGTACTTTTATCATGAGGAAAAGATTCGGACTCCAGATGAATGAACTAAACATTTAACTTAAGGAACCAGGGCAGCAGCAAACAGAAGCCCTGCAGAGCAGATCGACAGTGACACGATCCGAAACGTGTTACGCAAAGCACAAGAGACAATGCGCAGTCAAAGTGAAACACGGAGCGTGCTCTTCGGGAGACTGGCGCAAGAAATCAAACCCTGCAATCCTGCGGAGAAAAGACAGAACTGAGATGGGCAACAGGAATAGAAAAGGAAGATAGAAAGTACGAATATGGAAGCTATTAAACAAACAATAAGAAAACATTATGTGTGGCTAGGTGATAATAAAATTGAATGTCAGATGTTCTTTTCAATAACTTATTTTATATAAATTAGCCAAACTGATTTAAGGAGACAGACTCACAGAGAGCAGGCTGACAGCTCTGGAGTGGGGGCGGGGGTGGAGGGATCCAGCAGGAAAAAAAGAGGAAGAGCTGGAACTCGTGGGCAAAGACAATAGTGTGGTGATTGCAGCGTGGAGGGGGGCGTGTATAGGAGGTGTAAATGGAAATGGGAAAAATACAAGATAATAAAAATAAAAATAATAAACTGATTCAAGAAGAGGTAGAAACTCAAGGACAGGTAGGACCGCCTAAGTGAGTAGAGGTTCCCAGTCATTATTCTGGTGTTCCAGAATGGATGGATGGATGGATGGTGGATGGATGGTAGATAGATAGATAGATAGATAGATAGACGAAAGGGTGGGTGGGTTGGCAATTATCTCTACTCTGACACAAGTGTGCAAAAACAAACACTCCCATTGCCTCGCAGCATAAAGAGACCCACAATCTCCACCATCACTCTGGACATAGCCAACAAGGAAATTTCATGTGTGGACCTCAAGCCACTGGTATGTCCCACACTTCTGCTATCCCACATTCTTTGTCATTAGTGTTAAAAATAATGGCAGCAGGCCTGGTTGACTTTTCCCTAAAGGGCTGGCCAACCCCCCATTCAGGATATGGAAATGCAGGGGATCCTTCCCCCCTTCCCCCATTGCTGGGTGACCACCCCTCCTCCGTCATCATCCCCCAGGGCTGCCACTCATGACCCCACTGATAGTCACTACGAGGGGAAGGGGTCATTAGTCATCGCACCTTGTCCTGATGTCAGCCATGGCCTTGCTGTGCCTGGTTTTGCTGCTTTTCTGGGCCTGGAGCTGAACTAGATGTCGTCCCCAGGGGTGAGTGCTTGAGGGACCGGTCCTGCGAGGACCGGCAGTTCTGCTCGTTGCCGGCCCCAGGGCCCTGGGCCCTGCTGACCTTCCGCACCAGTCCGTGGCCCCTGCTCTGCTCTTGCCTCTCTCACTGCCTGCTACAGAGGGAGGACACATCCTTGGCTTTGGTCTGAACCCTCTAAGTCAGCGATTCCCAGCTGCACCAGCAAAACATCCCTGAGGGCAGAGGACGTGAGGGACCATCCTGGAGAGGGTTCAGAAGGCGGGAGCCATCAGAAAACAGGACTTTTCTTTGAGCATTCCTGCCTGCTTTGAAAAATTGGCGTGGACACATGTCACACCATGCACGAACCTGTAGGACATTGTGCTCTGTGAAATAAGCCAAAATAAGCCAAACACACGGGAGGTCCCTAGAGGAGTCAGATCCATAGAGACAGAAAGCAGAGGGTGGGGGCCAGGGGCTGGGGCTGGGGAAGGGGAGGGGAAGTTTACTGGATACAGCGTTTCACTTTGGGAAGTTGAGGAAGTTCTGGAGGCGGGTGGTGGGGACGGCTGCACAGCATTGAGAATGTGCTTAATGCCATTGAACTGAATATACTTTAAAATGGCTAAGATGGTAAAGTTTATGTCTATTGTCTTGATATAAAGCTGCTTTTTCAAATAGCAAAGTCCCCCTGCCCTGTGGTTTCAGAGCCCCTCATATATCTCTGAGCGTGCCACCGCACCCCAGTTTGAGAAGCATGTCCCTGATCACTCTTTCAACCCCAAATCACTCTCTCTTTTCTCCTTCCTGTTTGTTCATTGTAGCCTCCCTGCCTGCCTTCCCTAGCACTCTGTATGCCAAGTACGGTGTTGGGTTTATCACTTGGGTTCTGTTCCCTGCAAAACCGCAGAGGTAGATCCGTGATCGGGGGACCTCAGCTGTGTCCCAGTGCTTGGGCAGGTTCTTAGGACCTGAGCCCTGTGGGGCCAGTCACAGTCACAGTGAGTCCCAGGTGCCTGGGTCACCTCGTCCGGACCCAGGGGCACTGTTTGCAGTCCCTCCTGGATGCGAGCGTGTCCCCCACCGGGTCCTCACTGTGGCCAGGCTCTCTGCGGCCCTCGCTGACCCGGTCAGCATCTTGTCTCTCTTTCTCTGCAGACGGCTCTCATTTCCGTTGGTTGTGACCTGAAGAAAAAGATTGTCATTCAGAAGTAAGTGTGTTGTTGGTATGGGGGTGGGAGGTGGGGAATGGGGTGTAGGGATGAGGCGAGACTGGTGGCTGTTGCCTCACAGTTGCTGAAGCCGGGTGACGCTATGCTGTGTGCTCTGTGCCTGCTTCGTCTCCATGGCAGACAGCCCAGCCACGTGCACTGTCAGACCGAGTAGGAGTTTCAGGCGTGGTGGCGGCGACTCCTCCCCCCCCACCCCCCCACCCCCCCCCACCCCGGCAATGCTCACATTTTCCTCCCTCCCTAACCATTCTGCTCATTCCATTGTTTCCTTTTAATCCCTTAATTACCAATTTTGATTAAAATTATTCAGGGACTTTTTGCCTTAATTGCTTGCTAAAAAATTTGGGAACTCTGCCTCTGGTATCTGTCTCCCCAGGGAATGAGGCCATGAGAATCCAAGGGGAACAACAGGCCAAATTACCATCCTTTCACCCTGCAGGCAGCATCTGGGGAGGGAGGGAGCCCCGATGTGCATGCTGCTGAACGCCTGGGTGTAAATACTCCCCCAATGCTGATGTCAGGCTGCCAAGCCAGCCAGCCATGCGGCTCCGGCTCCGCATTCTGCAACTGCATGGTCAGCTCCGAGCCCCAGCGGGAGGGGACTTCAGGGCTCCATGCATGAGGCAGTCACACCCTCAGGTGGTGATTTGACCAGACTTCCCCCAAATGGAAACACATTATTGAATCAACAAATTGCGTATTTAAAACACATGTGCAGGAAATGTTGCTGAAACAATACTTAGAAGAAAGCTTTTGCCATAGAGAAAAGATACTTGCCACATATGTAACCAACAACAGGCTTCTATCCAGAATTTATAAAGAATTCCTACAAATAAAAAAAAAGAATTTCTACAAATTAATTTTTAAAAGAGAGAGAAATGAACAGACCAAAATGGACAAAGAGCTTGAATAGACACTTCCAAAAAAGAAACCAAGGCTGATAAACATGTGATAAGATGCTGAAAAATTGGTCAGCCTCGCTTCATTGGGAAATGAAAATGAAGGCTTGTAGGAGAGAGACCCTTGTTCTCCCGCCAGCGTGGCGGGGCTAACAAGGCCCGGCCAGTCCCAGGAGGGATGGGGACCCCAGCAGCTTCCAGAACTTACAGGCACTGCTGGTGGGCACACACAAGTTTCAGCTGCTTTGGAGAGCACATCTGTCAGTCTGGCACTTCCACTCATGCACACTTGCACTGGCATAGGTTCCAGAACATTCTCCGCAACATTATTCTTAGTAGCACCAAGCTGGAAGTACACCAACTGAAATGTCCACTGGAGGATGAGTACGTAGACCGGTCTGGTGTTCTCAGAACAATGTATTAATGTAACAATGACAGTGAATGAGGCAGCATGAGCTGCATAAATGTACAGATGTGGAGGTGGAAAGATACAGGGGAACACACATAGCATGAATCTAGTCTTAAGAAGCCAGAATCAGGCAAATGCTCTATGTAGCTTACTGGTACATGTCCAGGTAGCAGAGTACATAGAAAAACAGGGAAGTGATCATTTCAAAAGGCAGGACACCCAGCACCATGATCTTGGCCTCAAATATGAGGCATTAGGGCTCCTTGGAGAAACGACTAATTCTAGGCTAGGCAGGGAAGATACAAGATAAGCCTGGAGCAACTTGGAGAACCAAAAAGTAAGAAAGGGCTTGGATATCAAACCAATGGGACATGCATGTCAAAGGGAAGAGTTCATGTAGCTTCAGTTCTGCGTGGGGTCAGCAGCTTCTCACCACCTTTTGTTGCTTACAGCAAAATCTCAGCCTGTTACAAAGGCATCCTCGATCCAGTGGCCCTTCAGGACAATTACACCTATGTCATTGAGAAGTGAGCCAGAAATTTTCCTTCAGCCCTCCCTCCTTGACCACCCCCATCTTACAGACCCCTCCCCAGCCTGCTGCTGGCTCGCGGAGCCCAGCCACCTGCTCCTCTGAGCTGGTGGGGTTGGCTAGACACTGTGAGCCGAGGCAGGAGGGGCGGTGCGCCGGGGGAATCTCTTTGCTCCAGTCCTTCGTGCCACCAAGTGGGCACGGGATGGGGTTCAGCCCTGCTTGGTCCCAGGTGGTATCCCTTGGTACCCCTCCCATGCTGGTGCATGTCGCACCCCCCCACCCACTGTGGGAAGACGTGGCCACTTGGATACAAGCCAAAAGTCAATCAGCTCTCCAGGACCGCAGCCAAGACCAACACAGGTGCTGCTGGGCTCACTGAGCAGTGTGGCCACAGGCAGACCTCAGCCGGGCACAAAGCCATGTGTGAGACAGGGGTCTCCACGGAAGGGAAGGTGACAGGATGTGTGTGCGGGAGACAGAGACAGAGAGAGATGAGACAGTGAGAGAGGAGACAGAGGAAGGGAAACAGATAAGAGGGACACAGACGGACAGAGTGAAACAGAGAGAGAGACAAAGACAGAGACAGAGGGACAGAACCAAATGAGACAGACAGAACGAGAAGAACCGTGACAGAGAGAAAGAGAGGTCACCCGTTTTTCCCACTAAGGCCTTTGACTGCACCTGCAGTGGGGAGGGCACTAGACTTCATTCAAAGTCAACTGATTTAAATGCTAATTTCATCCCCCAAAACACCCTCACAGAAACATCCAGAATAATATCTGACCACGTATCCAGGTACTGGGGCACAGCCAAGTGGACCCATAAAGTGAGACATCACAGAGGGTCCCAGGGTCATTTTGACCAAAGCTCTGAACCCCCACCTCAGACCCCCTCCCCTGGAAGCAGCTGAACCTGGGAGGAGTGGGGTGGGGGTACACTGGGGCTGCCTTGTGGGACCTCACCCCCTACCTCCTCTCTGCTTAGGGAAGCCTACGACCCCCAATTCCAGGGGAAAGTGGCCAACAAGGACTTGGTGGTGAACTACCATTACGAGGAGCTGGGCTGTCCCCTCCTCGTCTTCTACGACACCCCATGGAAGCCTGTGGTGGAACTGTAAGCTCCCCATGGGGCCGGTGAGGTGGCAGCTGGGCCGCGTTCCCTGCTCCCCAGCTCCCGGCCTGGCCCTTCAGTTTCTTTGTGAGTGACATTATTTGGTTATAGGACATCACAATCATTTCTTCCAGTCTCTGCCTGTGTGTCCCCTTCCTAGAGATACCTTTTGTATCCGCCCGTGGAAAATACTCGGTGCCGCCCCACCTCGTGTCCCTGCTTGGTCCCCACCTGCCACTGCTGCGTTTGTCAGCCGTGGCTGGGGGGCGCTCCTCTTTGCTCTGCTGCTACACCACCCCCGCCCGGAACAGTCTCCTAACATGTCAGGGCCGCTGTCTCCCTGGGCCAGCCTCCCACAGCCACTCCTTGTGCGTGTACTCTAGATGGCGGGAAGAAAAGTTCCAGGAGGTTGTGGAGGCAGAGTATGTCTTGCTGGAGCTGAACGGACTGTTCACCTACACATACTCCCTGACGGCAGGCACGGCGCTCTGCAGGGCCCAGCCGCAGAACTGGACCTCCGTCATGCGGAATTCCAGCGAGGAGCGGCCCTTTGCCTGGGACCGAGAGGTAGTAGTTACTCTTCAGTTATTTCCCCAACAGGCCACCAGTCAGGTGGTGACAACAAATTACACCCAGTTGGGGGGTACCTCAGTCCACCTGGCCTGCTATCACAGGACACCGGAGACTAGGGGCTTGTAAACAACAGACACTTATTTCTCACCATCCTGGAGGCTTGAAGTCCCAGATCATGGTACTGGCTGATTCGAGGGCTGGTGAGAGTCTCCCTTCTGGTTCATGAATGATTGCCTTCCCTCTGTGTCCTCACATGGCTGAAGAGGCAAGGGGGTGCTCTGGAGTCCTTTTCCTAAGGGCACATCTTTATGATCTAATCTCCTCCCAAAGGCACTGCCTCCTAATACCATCCCCTTAAGGGTTAGGTTCCAACACGTGAATTTCAGGGGCATGCCAACATTCATTCCCCAGCAGGGGTGTCAGGGGGCGGGAGCACACTGACATCGAGAGCCTGGGGCCGCATCTGGGAATGTAAGATGTGTAAATTATTTGGGAATCTCCCCCAAGGGGCAGTGGTCAAATGTTCAGAGCTGTGGTCATTGCTGGTAATTTTCTAGAACCATCGAAATGCCCATTACAAAGGGACTGATTAAATTCACAATCTGTTCTGCTGAGCAAGCATTTTTACCATGAGCATTGATTTGCACATGACCGACACATAATGGCATGATGTCAGTAAAAGGAAGAAATTGCATCGGTGGTCCTGGGAGCTCTGATGCGCGTGAATAGTTCCATCCATCCACTGAGCCCCTCAACTCGAAGGCACTAACACAGCACAATGCAGCAATGCTACCAGCAGGGGGCGCTCACCCTGCACCTGAGCCCGTTCCTGCCTTCAGGTTCTTGGCTCTTTTAGTTACACCTGCTTCTGTCGTATCAGTTTGATCTATTTTGTTGACGACACTGGTTTTACTTGTTTTTCTTTTTTTTAACAAATGTGAAATTCACACAACACAATGAACTATTTTAAAGTGCACAACTCATGTCCATGTCTCATGCATTCACAAAGCTGTACAAGCCCCAGGAAGGAAGAGGGAGGGTGAACTTAAGCCACACCCACAGCCTCCTCCATGGGGGGGCCAGGAACTTGTCCACCCAGAGAGCATAGGGCCCTGACCCGAACCATGGGTGTTTGGTGAGCAGGTGGGGCCACGCTCACGGTGGAGGGTGTCTGTGGGCACTGGTGTGGCTTTCCCAGCCACCAGACCAATGCGCATACTCCTGTCCTCCTCAGAACTATGTGAGCTGCCATGACCCCCGCAACAATGCTCCCCTGAAATGGCCAGAGGTCCCCTATCAGATCTTGGGAGGCCGAACGGCAAACAAGGTCATTTTCAACCAAAGGAACGGAATTTATATCTTCTTCATTTCTGTCGTGGATCCATACTACAGGTGAGTGGGGTGAGGGGAACCGCCCTGTGCCCAGGTCTCTGGGGATGGCCGGCTCTCCTGGGGCATGTTGCACACACGTGGGGGACCCGCTTCCCCCCTCACCTTACCACACCTTGCATAAGCCAGGATTCGCTCAATAGCCCAGATAGTCCCCTGGGAAAAGAGATTTTAAGTCATAGATGACATCTGTCCGTTGCCAAGTAAATCCTCTTCAGACCCATGCTGGGTGCTGGGGGAGCAGTGGTGACCAGCAGCCACAGGCCTGCCCCGGGGGCCAGAGTCACCCTCTGGTGCAGTGTCTGCTAGGGTGAAGGGGCCGACCCAGAAATATTCAGGGATTCCGCAAGCCAGTCGACTTCAAATTGGCCATGGCAGGAATATTTACAACAGGGAAATCGGCACACACTATTAATCAGACCTCCCCTCCACCGCCAAAGCTGGTTGTTAAATACTCATCACCTATGACAGCTAAGCTGCTCCTGAGTCACGTCCAGTGTGCTTTTCTAGATCATCAGCATCTCTCACTGGGAGAGGGATTATGGGGGGCCATTTTCTCCCCTCCTCATCTATCCCCTCAAGACAGGTACAAACTCCACCCCCAGAACACACAGAGACCCTGTTTTCCCTAGAGGCCCCTGACCCTGGGCCAGAGAGACTGGCTCTGAGATGACCTTGGGTGGAAGGCACAGTGGAGGGGACATCCAGAGGAGAGAAGGGACTACCTGTGGGAATTGTCACCTCCTCTCCCTCTACCCTGTGTCCAGGAGAGCCCTCAGTGAGTTCTGCCATCCCCCTCTCCTGGGTCGCCCTTCCTGCCCATCGGCTGCATCTCCACTGGCCACCAGCCTCGTGGATGCCTGTGGCTGCTGTCCTGTCCTCACTCTGCTTCCAGGCTGTGATGGAACCTGGGCAAAGAGGAGGCACCCCTTGTCTGCAGAGGAGGGGACCCTAGGGGTCCTGGGGGGGAAATATGACTGCTGCCAAAATACACAAGAGGAAGGCACAGTAAGAATGGGTAAAAAGTAGATATAAATTGAACTCGGTGTCTGGCATGGACACCAGCCCACAGTGTCCGCGGCATTATGGATGAGATAAGATACATTCACACGGACTACCGAGTCCTGTGGAGGAAAAGGGACGGTGCGACTTCTCTCTCAAGGGTAGGGTGCTCCAACCCTTGCCTTGACAGGTTTTTATTGGCTTTCAATTTGGCTTTCAATTGGCTTTCATTCACAAGAATGCAGGTAAAGCTCATTAATCATTGTCAGGCAGTCAGGATCAAACAACAGACAGTATACAAAGAATTATGAGGGCTTATTCTGAGTCAGGGTCTGTGAGGTAAAGGGCTACAAAACTTTGGGAAACAAACTCATTTCCTGCTCAGACCCTTATCATTTAATGGAGAGCATTCTTAGCAAAGCAGATTTCACAGGATTTTGCGTATTATCTCTCAGGCCTGATTTATTCAGCAGGAGCTCTGTCCTTCCCAGCATACATGGCTTCACTATCCCTACCACACAGCCTAAAAACACAAAATGGTGAGATTCAGAATTTACATGGGGAATATGACTCAGGGCTTGAGGCCCACTGAGGTTGATAACCACCCTTCATGAAAGAGGTCTCTGTCCTTTGTACTCCCCATGATCAATGTTAAATATCTTCCCCTGTTAATAAGAACTTATCATGCTTTGTAAGTTAAACAACTGTTTATTAAATAAACATGGATACAAAGTGAAGATGTGCACAATTTACAAATTTCCTGTAGACAGTTTACTCCCTAGTGGTTTTTCAATGTGAATTTCACTCCACTCTAGTGCTTTAGTCTGCAACAGTTTCCTGAAATCAGTCCCCGCAAACAATGGTTATAACTGACTGAGCTTGATTATGCAATAAACAAATAAGATAAGGCTCCTGAACAGGGAGCTTTAAGGCTTCATTCCTGAGCGCAACACACTTCTGAACATCTTCAAAGGCTCACAATCATTCAGGTTGTTCATCATCATTTCATAGATCATATCCTCATTGAAAAACATCTTATTGTTCTGTGGTAAAATGGTTTATAGACAATCTCAAAACTGCTTATACAGATAATAAGAAATGAGAAATGTAATGTTTGTAGAAGACAGAAACCAAAGACACGTTTCGTGAGATGGTTTGATGCAATTTAGAGGTTTTTCTGAATATCAAAATAGAAGCAAAAGAAGTGTAAGCATGAACAATCATGCAGTAGTTTTTTTCTGGATGCTTACCTCCACTGCTCTGCCTCTCTTGACATGCTGGTGTCGGAGTTCCTCTGAATGACAGCACTTCCATCAGCTGTTAACCGTCAGAAGGGGGGTGGCCCATGCACTAATCAATAGGGGTGGGTGAGCCCTGGCCAGGTGGCTCAGTTGGTTGCAACGTTGTCCCATAGACTAAAAGGTCTTGGGTTTGATTCCCAGCCAGGGCACATACCCAGGTTGCGGGTTCGATCTTTGGTTGGGGCATGTGTGATAAGGCAACTGGTTGATGTTTCTTTCTCACATTGATGTTTCTTCCTCTTCTCCCCCAACCCTTCCTCTCACTCTAAAAGTGAATAATAATAATAATAATAATAATAATAATAATAATAATAATAAAAGTGAGACAGTGGCACAGTGGAGTGACAGGCAGGCCTCAGAAAGGGTGAGACAGCAATCTGAGAAGGTGAAGACCCTGGGCAGAGCAGGGAAGTCTGTAGAAGATGGGCCGTTTCATATCTGTGCTTACAAACCCTAACTCACGTACAGACAAATACACGGCCCCCCAAAGCCCTGGCTCTCCTGTGCCTGCTACTTAAGATGCAGAACCCATGTGCTGGGCCTGGTGGGAAGACCCGGTGTTCAGGGCCTGGTCAAACACCCTACCTGGGACAGACTTACCCATCATGGTCTCTGGCTGTTACCAGGGTTTCAGGTGCACTATGCCCATCTCCATCATGAGTGGACCTGTTTCCAGTTACCTGTGTGCCGAGTGGGCACTGTCTCCCACCTCCTCGCCCAGCCCCCATCCCTCACCACCAGGCACCCTCACCTCCATCCAGCACCTGCCCCTCACATCTGCCTGAACTAGCGTGGGGTCCTTTTCCTGCCTTTCTCTGGGCAGCCGTGACTTCTCCTGCCAAACGTGGAGGTGGGGAATCCTTACGGTGCAGGGCTCTGGGTGGTGTCTCTCCACCTCTCAGAAGCCCCCCTTCCCTGTCAGCTAAGTTTCCAGTGCCAGGACACAGGGGATGTACAGTCCCCCTGAGGCAAGGGCTCCTCAGCTCAGCCTGGATGCCCGGCACCCAGCGGACACTGGGCTCCTGCAGGGCTCCCCCGTGTGGTTCAGGACCCACTGGATGATGGAGCAGGTGAGGGGGCGGCCCTCCCTCTGTGCCCACCCCTGGTCCACTGCCCTCCATCGCCACCACCGAGTAGACACTGGGCTGAGGTTCAATCTGCTTTAATGAGGGGTGGCTCCCAGGTCCTGCCTGGGTGCGGGGGAGGGGGCGCTGGACAGGCCCACAGACTGCTTAGTCTTGCCTCCTTGCCTCCCCTTTTTGGTGGCTGAGGCACTGGACTTTCTCTTGCTGGGGGGCTCGGCCTGAAGCACCGGGGCTGCAGTGGTGGTGGCAGGGGGCCCTGGGCAGGGTGGCAGCTCCTCGTCAAGCGCCTTGAAGTTGAAAAAGTAGTCCACGTTGGACACGGTGTCCAGGATCTCGGGCACACTGTAGTCGAAGGACAGCAACTCATCTGGCAGGTGCAGCGAACGGATGTCGCTGGAGGAGTCGTCCCCACCACCCCCGCTGTCGGGCAGGGCTGGTCCAGGGGCCTTGCGCAGGGACTTCTCAGGCTCCGTGCCCCCCGGCAGGCAGTCGAAGAGCTTCATGGCATCTTCCAGCAGCACCTTCTCAGGCAGCACAAAGGCCCTGGCGGCCTCGGGGGACCTAGTCTCACCCGCCCCCGATGGGGCTGCCTCTGCTTCAGCCACCTTGGGGTCCCCGGGGCCTGGTGGGTACAGCAGGTCTGGCCCTGTACTGTTGCCCTGCAGCTCCTTGGCAGGAAAGGCCCTCAGATGACCTTTGAGGTGGCCATAGGCCCCAGGGGGCAGAGCGGCCTCAGCGGGCAGAGTGATGAGGAGCGGGGGCAGCTGGTTTTCCTTGGAGGGCAGTGGTGGGGGCAGGGGCACCGGGCCTTCCTTGAGCAGGGGTGGGGGTGGCTCCACGAAGGTGGGCGTCCCCCCTTCACCTACAAAGCCCAGGACTTCAGGCCCGGGCCCCTCAGGTGGGTAGTAGGGCATGAGGTACTGGGGGCCCTCGGGTGCTGGCTGGAAATGGGGGTAAGGCGGAGTCTGTACCGGGGCCTTGAGGTAGTGCTGGGGCTCTAGGAGGTAGGTGCCCGATGAGGCAGGGCCCCCAGCCGGCACCCCACCACCCGCTGCTGCCAGCTTGTACAGGGACGACTGGCCGAAGTCAGTGGCGGCCCACTCGATTCGGTAAATTCGGGGGTCAAAGAAGCAGCCGCAGGGCGCCATCTGGAAACCTGTGGGCCCAGGAGGGGCGGCCCTGAGAAGGGCAGGGCTAGGACCCACCTACCTGGGGAAGGCAGTGTGGGATCGTGGGGGAAGACAGCCCAAACCCTGGGGACCTATGGACAAAAGCCTGGGTTTGGGGGCCCCGTTGGGGGACAAGAGCCACAGGCCTTGTCTTCAGGGTCCTGTCTAGATGGGGCACAGACCTCAGTCTGGGGACCCCTTTGGGAAACAAGGACACGAACTTTGGCGTCTGGGAGCTGCTGAGGGACAGGCGAGATGGCCCTGCCCGCTCCAGCCCTGGCACAGGGCCTAGTCAAGGGTTGGGAGGAGCCTGATACCTGCTGGAGGGGCCGGAAACACCTCTTTCTCCAGGTCTGGGGGGTGATACAGGTTGGAGGAACCTGTAGACGAAGTCACGCGGGTAGGTGAGGTCCTGGAGCTGGGGGGCAAAGCCCAGGCCCCCTGCCCCCAGTCAGGTGTCCCCGGCTGCCACCACTGCCTGACTCATACCCACAGTGGGAAGAGGGTCTGTGCAGGCAGCAGTGGGCGGGCCACCTGGCCCCTCAGTGCCATCCAGGCCCTGGGGGCTGAAACCTTCTTGGGGAGCTGCAGTAGTGTAGAAGGGTTTTGGATGCTGCATGGGGAGGTGGGGGGCCCAGCCCGGGCAGGCCTGGAGGGTGGCAGGTGAGAGCATAGGCACCTCACCTGGAGAACGGGCTCAGAAGTCACACAGAATTCTGTTTGCCTGGTTACTCCTGGCAGCAGGTTCCAGCCTGTGGTTCCTCCCACTGGCCAGGATTCCAGGTATTGGAGGTGGGGGAGGGTGGACAGGGACAAAAGGGAAAACCAAGGCAGCCAGAGACGTGTGTCACAAAGCGTGGGGCAAACCCTGGGCCTAGTGTGCTGCCTTCTGCCTTTACCAGCAATGCCCATCTGATAGCTCTCAGACTGCTTCCTCCAGGCAGCCTGCCCTGATTCACACCCCTGCAAGCCAAGGACCCCCCTCCACTCTCATAATCCCCAGTGGCTTCTTTGTGGTCAAGGCCTCTCTGGGCACCAGCAGCGACCTGCACGGGGCTGGCCCTGTGGGGGCAGGCAGGAGACTTCAGTGAATGAGGAAGGGAGAGGGAGGGGGGCTGCTGGGATGGCGATGGGGAAGGGAACAGGCAGATGTACAGAAAGGGCTCCCAGGAGCAGGAAGGGGCCACCTCAGGGTCACAGAAAGGCCGGAGTTTTAAAAGAATATAAAGTTTATTGTCTTCTCACACGCTAAGGGGACCCTCCAATGCCCCCTCCCACCCCTGCAGCTACTTGTAGGCATTGGCCTTGTGTTTCGGCACAAAGACGAAATTGGGTGGCACAGGTCCCAGCAGCATCTCACTGTGAGGGCAGGCAGAAGGCAGGGTCAGACCTGGGGCCTGGGCCTCCCCTTCCCCAGCATGCCCCCAGCCCCAGCTCCTCGGGTCCCAGCACCTGATGTGGATCCAGTCGGCTGCCTTCTGGCTGGCCATGAGTGTCTCCAGGTAGTCACGGCCCAAGTAGTAGGGGGGCCGCTCATTGATCCTCTGGGGGAGCCGCTCCAGCAGACCCACGGGCACGTACCTGCAGGCAGGTGGAGACAGGGTTGAGCCAGGCTGCCTCATACCACCAGCACCCCCACCCTGGCTGCTCCATGTCCACCTGCACAGGAAGGACAGCCATTCGAGGAGGAAGCGGCGGGTCTTCTCCACACCCTGCGTGTCCGAGCCCCAGTGCTCCAGGCCATAGTGCGTGAAGTCCCGCAGGATGTCCAGGCGCTCGGATGATGAAATGTCCCAGTGTCGCTGCTCCTTGATCTCCGTGAACAGCCACGGCTTGAGCAGCGCACCACTGAGGGCCAGGGAGTGGTCAGAGGCATCCAATCCCACAGTCCCAGACCCTCCTGCTGTGTGCGTGCCACCTTCAACCCCTAAGAGTTCTAACTCTCAACTCCAAGCCCACAGCTGCAGAAATTTCCAGACTGTTCCAGAAATTTCCCTCCCAGCTACAGCCCCGCCATCTCTCTGCACAGACACACACACCTGCTGGGGACAAAGGGGACTAGGGAGTGCAGCAGTTGGGCAGCAATACTGTGACAAGAGAGAAAGCTCAGACACAGCCTCGCCCTCCCGAGACGCAGGCCAGGCCTTAAGGGCAACTCCAGATAGCTGTCTGCACATGCCCCCCCACCCCCCGGTCCAGGCACCAGGCATGCTTACCGGGCAATCATGATTCCAGCAACGCCAGTCTGCATGGCGCAGTTAGCATCTTCGTATGATAAGATGTCTCCATTTCCTGAGGGACAGACACAAGGGCCTCAGGGAGCTGCACACAGGCAGGAAAGCCAGCTCTTGGGAGTTCTTGCCAACCCAGCAGTCCCCATTGAGGCAGGGAGGGGTCTCAGGTAGGGGGTGGGCCCGGGTGTGTCTGTGGCCTTTGATGACAGGGCATGTAAGTTTAAGTGACAGGAAACCCACCGAACAGGGGCATGGGGCTGGCTGCCATCACACACTGCTTGATGTACTGCCAGTCAGCCAGCTTGGTGTAGCGCTGCTCCCGAGAGCGGCCGTGGAGCTAGAGAAGAAGCAGCCACATGGGGAGGGAGGGAAGGTCCAGGGAGGTGGAGCATCAGAGAGAGAGAGAGAAAGAGAGAGAGAAAGAGAGAGACCAGAGACCCAGGCTGAGACAGACAGACAGACAGAGTCAGAGATGGAGGGAGAGCCGAGATGAAAAGGGAGGAGGGGAAGAAACAGACCATTAGAAAGGGTTGCGGAGCCCTGGCTCAATGTATTGAGCGTGGGCTGCAAACCAAAGGGTCACTGGTTCGATTCCCAGTCAGGGTACATGCCTGGGTTGCAAGCCAAGTCCCCAGTAGGGGGTGGGCAAGAGGCAACCACACATTGCTATTTCTCTCCCTCTCTTCCCCTCTCTCTAAAAATAAATAAAATTTTTTAAAAAATTAAAAAAAGAAGAAAGGGTTGCCGGAAGGCCCCTGATACCCACTGTACCCCAAGACCCACCGTGACCAGGGCTGCACCCCAGTCCCGCAACTTGGGCAGCAACCGGTGTGCCAGGTTCACACGTTCCTGGACGCCTGTGCGGATCTTCACCGTCAGCGGCACGTCCAGCACCTGTGGGGATGGGTGTGGTCAGCAGGGCCCAGGCTTGGGTGGAGAAAAGGTGGGGACATCTTGGAGCATACCTGGTTCATGCCACAAACGATCTGCTGGAACTTGGCAGAGCGGTTCATGAGGGCACAGCCCCCACCCTGGGAGAGATAAGCAGCTGGAGCAAAGGAGGGCAGGACCCACACTGGGCCTGACATCCCTTGCTGGTCAAGTGGGGAAACTGAGGCACAGGGACCCACATAGGTTCCCAGTGACTCAGGCAAGAGCAAAGCCAGGTCCCAGGTCTCCACCCCATCCACACTCTGCCCACTTGGGATCAAGGGCTGAACAGCCACTACCTTCTTGTACACAAGGTCAATAGGGCAGCCGACATTGATGTCCACGAAATCCACCTCGATGCTGCGGTTCAGTAGCTCGGCACACTTGGTCATAGTGTCAGGGAAGGCACCCTCCAGCTGTGGCAGGTGGCGAAGCAGAGGGGGTGAGAAGCCCATCTGGACTCTCCCTGCCTGGCCCCATGCCAAGGCCATCAGTCTGCCCCGTGGCTGAGGTGAGAGGGATCTAGGAAGTGACTGAGCCAGGCCTGGGTTCCAGGAGAGCCCACCCTGAACCTTGCTCCAAATCTTGGCAGCTGAAAGCTGCCTCCTCCCTCTCTCCCTCCCTCCCTCGGGGTAGCACCAACCTGGACACCAAAGATGTCCTCACACTGGTGGCGTTTGAGCAGGGCCCACTCGGACGTCTGGCCCTGCAGAAGATTGGTGCAGACGGCCATCTCCCCACATGTCACGTCAGCCCCAAAACGCTTACAGATTCGCCGGAAGGGCAGGTTCCCACACTGGGGGCCGTGGGGAACACAGACAAGTGAGGGGTGCCCCAGACACCTGCCCACACACCGTGAGTGTCCTGGATAAGACAACCCAAGACCGGCAGGCGCTGGGCACTGTCGGGGTGACCGTGCTGCCACCACCCACCCCACCCCACACTGGCCCTACCGTGGTGAGGGGGGCCAGGTACAGTTTGCCACTGATGTCAAGCTAGAAGGAAAGAAAACAGAGAGGCTCTACCCTCCAACCTTGATTTTGAGGCCTCCCTTCTCCCCGCAATCTAAAACATGTTTTTCTCCGCCCCACTGGCCTAGTACCCTTTCACCTCTAAACTTCTGCATGTGTCAACCAATCTGCCTATGAGAAATCTTCTTTTCTCCGTGTCTTCTCCTGGACAGCTTCTAGTCAACCATCAAACCCTCAGTCCTAATGCCCTCTCTTCCAGGAAGCCTTTCCCACTGCCTCCCTCTGCCTCATCCCTAACTCTGTGGCTGGGAGTGTGTGTCCCGTCCTTCACTGTTAGTGTCCTCAAGAGGAAGCCTGTGACCCATACCTGCCTCTTCTCACAAGGCCGCAGCCTGATTATGTCCTCATCTGTCAGGGGTCCGCAGGTCTGGATGGGGCTGCGGGGAGGGCTACTGGTACTGGGCCCTAGGGGGGCCTGCTGGGTGTCACAGTTGTCCTGCCCTGGGGCACTCACTGTCCCTGTGGGGGCAGTGACAGAAGGGGTGGGGCCTGGCAGGTGGCCCTTGCCTAGCTGGCGCAGGGCCTGCTCAGCACGCTCAAAGTGGATCTTGCGCTTTCGCAGTTGCTGCTGCAGAGCCTTGTCCAAGCCATTTCGGATGGGAGGGGCCTGGACCATCTCCTCTTGCACCAGGTTCTGGCCCTCAGGCCCCAGATGGGCCCTGGCAAAACGGCAAGTCACACCATAGGGGCACCTGCCATAAGTCTCGAATAGTACACAACGGGGGCCCAGGTCAGCTGGCTTGGTCTTCAGGTAGCTGTTCACATCGTGTAGGAAGCGACATCGATCACCAAAAAAACACTTAGCAGCCGATTCCTGCAGGGAAACAGGGAGGCAGTGAGGGAGGACAGGGAGAGGCTGGGGCAGCCAGACTTTGAATTACACCCCTCCCCTCCCGGCTGTGGGTCCTAGGGCAAGTCAGTAACCTCACCGTGCCTCAGTTTCTTCATCTGGAAAATGGGAAAAATAATATTTACATCACAACACCCTGAGGACTGAATGGCGACAGAGAGGCTCAGACTAAAAGCTTCTGGGACTTTCTGGTGACACATGACACTAACCTGCACCAGGAAGGGGCAGAGCCTGTTCTTGTCATAATGGGTGGGTTTCACATGAGGCCGGCCTTTGTTCTGGCCACGGGCTCTCTTCTGAGCCTGAGGATGCTTGCCGAGCTCAGCTGCCTCCTCCGTGGTGCCCTCTCCCAGCTGCCCATCCTCTAGTCGGATCCGCTTGGCCTCAGGTTCAGCCAGGGCACAGTCATGAGAGTTTCCTTTCTTGGGTTCCTGGCTGGGCTTCTCCTGCCTTGCTTCCAGGAACTCATGGAACTGCTCTTTGGTGGTGAGGTATCTGTCAGCAGAAAAAGAAGAAAAAGGAACTCTTGAGAGAATCCTTTCCTGAGTTCCATTCAATGAACACTGGGGAAAGA